CTTCTCTCTCTTCTCCCTCAGACCACTCATCATCATACCCCCACCACTCCACAGTCTCTGGACCTTCTTCCTTGGGGGTTCCTCAGCTGGTTCCTCCCACCATTCCTGTGCATCCAACCCATCCATGACATCGAGTGAGGTTTAGAGCTAAGTAGAGATTTGAACCTTGCCTCCCAGTTCCCAGTCCAACACTCTGACTACCACACCACACTAGTTCTATATACGGTACAGTGGTACCTCGGGTTAAGAACTTAATTCGTTCGGGAGGTCTGTTCTTAACCTGTAACTGTTCTTAACTTGAAGCACCACTTTAGCTAATGGGGCCTGCTGCTGCCACCGCGCCACTGCTGCGCAATTTCTGTTCTCATCCTGAAGCAAAGTTCTTAACCTGAGGTACTATTTCTGGGTTAGTGGAGCCTGTAACCTGAAGCGTCTGTAACCTGAAGTGTATGTAACCCGAGGTATCACTGTATTTACTAATTATTGCCAGCCACCTTGTGAGGGTTTTATCTTTTAAAGGTAGGATATAAATAAATATGCAGTACTTTTTTGGGGGGATGCAGGGGTACCATACCTCTAAACATTTTGTGAATCTAATGGGAGAAGAAACTAAAAAAAATAGTTACCTCTCTAGCATGGTGAATTGTCAGTTCCACTGCTACCCCCAATGGTGGCCTCATTTCCTTTCCCTGTGTTTCTTGAGTCTCAGGCGGAAGCAAGCATTTAATGTGTGAAGCAGTGTGAAATGTGGATGTGTGGTGTTTTACTGATGAAAGTCGGGAAGATGTTAGTGGACACAACCCCATGCCAGTGTGGAAATTACTGTGAGGTGTCAGCTGTGTAACATGAGATAATGCATATTCTTTGTACTTTTGTCCATTTACTGTATTTATTTCCCCCGATTTGAACTATAAAATGGTGATTTTCTTGAGTCAAAATGAGAGTACCCCTAAACATTTTTTAAAGCGCTATAAATATATAGATTGTATACTCTCATGCCCTATATTAGCATAGCATAGCACCTAGCTTGGTTCCCAGGCTCTCCCAGTTTGTTTTCCTTTGAGGTGGAGATGGAACTGGAATCTTCCATTCTAACAGCATGTGCTCTGCCACTGACTGATGTCATGGACCAAGACATCTGAAAGCCAAACATCAGCAAAAGTGGAGTGACTAGGGTGGCTTAATCTGAGCTTAGCCTCTCAATAACTGCACATATTTGAATTAAACTAGCATCACAAACAAACAATGCTACTCTTTTCCCCTTGGTCAAGCTGGGAGGTCCAGTTTGGAATGCATGGACAAGGGTCAACAGAAGATGGATGAAGTCAATGACTGAGGTCAGTGCTGGGAGCTCTGGCACACAGCCCAGAATGAAACCAGGAAGTGTCGGAGCAGCAGGGATGAGGTTGTGACAATGTATGCAATATAAAGCATGCATTCTCTATTTAGTACTGCAGGATTGTAATCAAAAGAAGTGTACTTTCAAGTACTGTACAGTCAGCAAAAAGTCATGTGACATCATTGCCACCCTCCCATTGAATATGGCTGCGATTCAACCCGTGTAGAGTTGGCAATGTCTCTTGGCCCAGAGTTATGTGTGGATAGGATTTCCCTGCCCATCTATGTGTGACTAAGAGCAATACTTCTGGGGTGAAGGTTTTGTTTTCTTTGCTTTTAAAGGATCAATATCCATGTCATCGCAGGCAGCATCTAAGAAGACGCATGCCTGTCCTGTCTGTAAGAAAGGGGACAGCACTTCTTCTTAGATGACATGTGGAACCTGCAGGTTTTAGAAGCATTTCTATAATGCTACCACTTTTCAGTCAACTGTCAGATTCATCAAGGACAACTTTTTAATAAATGCAAAGGTGTTAAGTAATTGATGAAACGTTTTGGCCCTACATTTTGGATGTCAGCGGGGGACCTTTTCATGTATTACTACAGTGGCACAGGAATCACTTTTCTCACTCTGTGGTAATAATATTTGAAAGCCCAGCTCCACAGTGACAGGAAAGCACAGGTAATTTCCACTCGACCACAGCCAGGAGGGGGAAGTCAACAAATGTCTAGAGAGGAGTCATACAATTGGCCCTGTCTGTGTAGTGCTGGGACTTGAAGCATTACCACAGTAACCCCATCTTTCCTCTAAGGGACAGCAAACATGGTTCTCCCTCACATTTTATCATCATAACAACCCTGAGAAGTAGGCTGATCTGAGAGTGGCCCAAGATCACCCAGTAAGCTTTATGGCTGAGTGGAGATTTGAACCTGGATTTCCCCAGTCCTAGTCTGAGACTCTAGCCACGCTACCCTATTGACCAGAGAGTAAGCCCACACCACTATGAGGACATAGAAAGGGGCTCCAAGTCACATCAAACTCTGAAGGCAATCAAACAGTGTCTGTATAAAGATCTGAAAAGGTACAAATGCTTTCTTAGCAGGAACATGAAGTGGGGCGGAGGTCAGCACCATAGGAAAACATCTCTCATGATGGCAAACTACATCACCTCTGTGCTATGAAGATTCTTTGAACAGATGGGGAATCTGACATGTCTGGTAGAAGTCAACAGGCCTCGTGTTGTCTGGGCGGTGAATCATTCTTCATTCATCTCCGCTAGTCTGATCTTTAATGGCTTTTATGGAATGACGCAGCTCATTCTTTTTCTCCTGCAATTCAGCCCACATTTTCTGTTCCCCCCACTCAGTGAAAAGTTACCCCCACCTTTCTATTAATGTTTGAAAAGTTAGTACAATGAACCCATGATATCATTAGTTGGCTGCACTGAAAGTGTGGAATTTTGTCAAGACTGGGTGTAAATGTAGTTATTTCAGTAACCTAGTTTGACTCTTTATTCTTTTCTTTTCTTTTCTTTTCTTTTCTTTTCTTTTCTTTTAATATGACCCAAGAGGCATTTATTACAGGATATGTATTTGGCTATTGCTTTCAGTTAACATGCCATGCCTGATATCTGAGTTATTAAAACACTTCAGCAGGGCAGCTGAAAATAAGATTTGCCAATTTTAGAATGAGAAATGGATTTTGCACATGCAAAGGTTGACATTGGTCAGTAGAAGCATCAAGCTGGAGTTTGGCCATGGGTTTGAGAAGGATGTGGATTGCATCAATTATAACAACAACTCTCTCATTCAGAATCGGGCAAATAAAAGTGAACAGACTGAAATAATGGAAAGTTCAGAACATTCTCTGTTTCTCCCGGTCTCATGGAAAAAAACCCCTTCAATATTATTCAAAAATATTTCATTATGGCGCTTTTAACCTTCTCCTCAACATGCCTTGGAAACACATTATTAACGTGTCTAGCGCTAAAGAGATTTCTGTTTTTTGTGTTCAGACTCAAAAGTCAAAGGCATATCAGAAAGAACAAAAGCAATAGGAGGCACACCATGATTTAGCAAACTGTGTGACTACACAAATGTGCAACCTCTAATAAACTTGTCTTAAGTATCTGAGATTACAGCCTCCTGAGCAATGAAGTGCTAGACTGCTCATTTTAAGTCTGATTATAACTGCTGCCGTAATTGTGAGCTTGCCATCTAAAAATAGATTTCTTCTTGTTACATTCCTTTAATCTTAAACTTCAGTCAACCATTGCCTCTTAATTGATGGCTAGAAATGCTATTACGGGATTTATTTATTTTTATATTTTTTAAAAAATCTTTGTGTTGGTATTCAAAACCTTTTGCTGATGACTGCTAGCACCGACTCCTTATGCCAACAATACCCTTCAACATTCTACATAGGACAATCAAGCCAATCCCAACACAAAAGAATAAATGGGAACAGATCTGACATCAAAAAGCTCAGTATGCAGAAACCGGAGGAAATGAATCCCAGCCTTAAGTGGCCATTCTTGAACAAAGGAACTTTGAAAAGAGACACCAGTGTGAAACTACTAAGTTTGATTCTATCATCTGTGGCCAGAATCAAGATAATGGACTTTTATCCCTCTACAGGTGTGAATTAGCTTACCAGTTCTAGGATGTTTGTGTTATGGTCACTGCTGTGTGAATGGTCACTGTAATAAAGTTACACACACTTAAGCTTTAATATAATTGTCTGAACTGTCTGCATTTTATTTCCCTCTAGCCTTATCTATACATGCCAATTTAGGATTGCATCTGATGAAATGGACTGTGTCCCGTGAAAGCTTATATCATATTAATTTTAAAAAACTAAAACCTTAAGGTGCCACTTCCTTGTTTTTCTACAGATATTGAAGTATGTGTTCAGGATCTTATGTAACAGGAGGCTCTGGCTACAATCCATTATACTTGCCCATTTACAACAGACCAGTCATAAGCAGCTGTAAATTGAAGCTGGTGTGATATTTTCCTTGCTGTTTAATTTCTGAAGGTGCATTTTGAAAGCACATAGCTTGTCCAGCCCACTTTTAGCCTGATTAACAACAATGTTAAACCAAAACAGCTTAAATGCCGCTCTGTCTATTTGTTATCTCCACTTAATTCATAGACTCTCGGGTATAATTGGTGCTTAAGGAATGCTAGATTAATGGCATGTGTTCTCAAGCAGCTAAGGGTAGTGTCAGCTGAAATTTGATAACAGCATAAAAATGGTTTCAGGAATCTGATGGGAATATACTTTCCTTCACTCTATTCTGGAGCTAGTGTAACACAATGCTGAGGCTGAGAAAAGGCAGCATACTTTCCCCCCCTTGCTAATCCTTTGTTTGAAATACATCATTATAGAGTTTAGCCTCTTCTCCCTAAAAGCCTTATAGAAAATCTCTCCAGATCTGATATGGGACTGCCGACATATTTCAATCAACATAGAATCATAGAATTTATTTTGTCCAGCCCTTTGCAATGCAGGAAACACAGCTAAAGAACGCCTGACAGATGGCTGTCCAATCTCTGTTTAAAAACTGCTAATGAAGGACAGTCCACCACTTTCAAAGGTAGTTCGTTCCACTGTGGACCAGCTCTTACCATCAGAAAGTTCTTCCTCGTGGGATAGCTCACTCTGGGATAGCTCAGTCGGTAGAGCATGAGACTCTTAATCTCAGGATCAGGGGTTTGAGCCCCACACTGGGGGCAAAAGATTCCTGTATTCCAGGGGGTTGGATTAGATGACCCTCATGGTCCCTTCCAACTCTACAATTCTATGTTTCCAATGTTTAGTCAGAATCTCTTTTCTTGTAATTTGAATCCGTTGGTTTGGGTCCTACTCTCCAGAGCTGGAGGAAACAAGCTTGCTCCATCCTCCACGAGATATTTGAAGATGGCTATCATATCACTTCTCAGTCTTCTCCTCTCCAAGCGAAACATGCCCAACTCCCTCAACCATTCCTCATAAGGCTTTGTCTCCAGATCCTTTACCATGAGGGCATCACCCACCTTTGCACATGTTCCAGCTTCATTATCTTCTGAAACGAGTTTACGATGTGCATTAGTGGTAGGGGGTATGGGTTGGGCTGCAGTGTGGACCTGGTTTCCTGATTCCAGGCATTGTTCCTGGTGAGAGAGAGAGAGAGAGAAGGGCAAGGTGGCAGGAAAACAGTATACAGTGGTACCTTGGGTTACAGACACATCAGGTTACATACACTTCAGGTTACAGACTCCGCTAACTCCGAAATAGTACTTCTGGTTAAGAACTTTGCTTCAGGATGAGAACAGAAATTGTGCGACCGCGGCATGGTGGCAGCGGGAGGCCCCATTACCTAAAGTGGTACCTCAGGTTAAGAACAGTTTCAAGTTAAGAACGGACATCCGGAATGAATTAAGTTCTTAACCTGAGGTACCACTGTAGTCACAGCAGCAGAGCCAAACTGATGCTCTTGCTGTGCCCTCACCACATCAAGCTCCCTGCTGCCTTGCCCCTCTCCAGGTCAGCCATGCAACCCCACCCACAGTGCAATGACAGCTGCTGGTGGTGTCACAAATGTTTCAGTGCATAAGCCATAAGCCTTTTTTGGGTGCCTGGTGAATACATTTCTGTTTACTGTGGAGTAGGTAGGACTGGATGAGCATTTTATTATCAATTGTCTTCACTGTTTTATTTTAATTATTTTTATCTGTTGCGTTTTATCAAATCAAGTCACTCTGAGACTATTTTTTTTTTTAAGCAACTCACAAATATGATGATAATCAACATCTTTCCTTTCTGGATTTCAGTAGGCACTGCTTTGTAAGATAATGAAATGGTCTTGCCCAGTCCATGGTTTTGTTTCTCTAGTGCCAGAACAGTTCGAGAGAGCTACTGCTTTTTTTGTGTGTGGTGTAGGAGTAGATGCCTAGAAAGAGGGTCTCTCAGGAGAATTGAATAAATCTGCAAACCACACAGGTCCCTAGATAGAACATCTGGCCATCTGGAATGCATCTGGAGGTGGGAAAAATATCCCATCATTGGAAGCTGAGGTGAACCTTAACAGACATAAATTAATCATTATTGCTTACACAAGGAGGCATATTTTTTATGCAGCATGGAGTTAAAGATGGTTATTTCTTAATCAGGCAGTGCTGAAAATTGTGCTGCAAAACTCCAAGCAGGATGTTCGTCTTGAGAGCTGAATGCAGTCTTCCTGAGAGAAATGTTGAGCAGTTGACCTCTTGCACGTACACCATCCACACATATTTTCCATGCTGGCTGCTTTCCCTTCAGCCAGTTTGGGTTGTGTATTTGGAGTTGACTCAGCTTGAGCTTACTTCATGCTTTCATGAGGGAAACCTGCTGGTCTGCAGGCCTGTGATTTCCAGTCAGACTTCCAGAGGCCTCAGGTTGGGTTCAATCTTTTTCTTTCTTTCTTTCTAACCTATCACTAATGCCCACTGAGACATCTGTATTAAGTTAGTCTCCTTCACACTACTGAATAAATGTACTGCTGAATTTAAAGCTCCTGCAACTGTGTGACCAAGGGATCAGGGGATCTTGGAACCAGTTACTCCCCCGCCCTTTCCCGAAGAGATCCAGAAAAACAGAAGTGATTCATTTGCAGTTAAATCCTGATTCTGTTTACACATCTGTTCAGTGGGACCTACTCCTAAGTAAGTATGCATAGAATTGCTACCTGAATTTGGGGACAAATCACACAGGAACAAAATTCATCTGTTCAGTTACTTGTGGGGCAGCTAGCTATGCTTCCAGATGATTAAGGCTGTAATCCATTTACCTGGTAAGAAATCTCAATGAATTCATTTACATTTATTTCTGAGTAGGAATCTACAGGATTATACTGTTCATCAGAAATCTTCTCTGGACAGCAGAGTTATCTTATATATCATAGAATCATAGATCAGAGTTGGAAGGGACCCTGAGGACTATTTAGTTCAACTCCCTGCAATGCAGGAATATGCAGCTGTCCCTTAGGTGGATTGAACCTGTGACCTTGGTGTTATCAGCACCAAGCTCTAACCAAATGAGCTGTCTGCTCAGATGTGCATTCCATGGAATTCAATGAGTCTTACTTTCAGGTAAGTGTGCATGGTATTGCAGCCCAAAAGGTGTGGGGGGTTTGCTTTTGGGGGTGGGTGGGTAAGTGGGACAGATAAATTATCTGTCATTCAGTTTGTCTTGTCTTTTTGTCTGTCTCCACTGTCATAAATTTGTTTGTTTACATATTTAAACCCCACTTTTCTTGGTCTTTATATTTTTCTTTATTAAATAAACCTGAACAATCTTACAACCAGCACCTGCATCATTACAAAGCACAATGAAACAATCCAAGCAACAGTAAAAATAGGTCAAGCTTTAGTAAGCATTTCAAACATCTTATACATGGAAACCAAGAGGAAGGTATAACAGTGCAGGATAGAAATATCAACTCCATTGAAAAACTTGGTGAAATAAAAAGGTCTTAGCAGCTCACCTGAAGCTTAAAGGAGAAGGAAACAACTGAGGCTCCCTGGGAAGAGAGTGCCACAACCTGAGGGGCACAACACAAAAGGCCAATATTTTGATAGTCTGAAGTACAAAATGCACCCATACAATGGTAGATATTGTACGAATAGCCTTCTCTTTCTCTCTCCCCTTCCATTCTCAATGATGAGAAGCACTTGGTGCTCCCTAGCATAACACGGGTTGGTAGGTTTCAAAACAAACTGACTTCCAGCAATAGGTTAATGGAAGCTGGCTTGTTTGGCTAAGCAAAGTTAGTTGTAAGCCAAGATTCCTGGTTCATACCTCACAAGCTGACATTCTTTGAAGGTAAAACTGACCTCCAATGAAGTCTTACTCTGTAGTTATGGGAAGACAGGAGGGGAGGGAAAAGCCTGCAAGCCTGCACTTAAGGTTCATTGCAGATTGGGCACAGAGCACTAAACTGCAGTTCAGCATTGGGGGGGGGGCAAGCTATTGTGTTGTTGTTATCTTCTTTCCCTATCTCACCTAACCATACTATTTAAGGATGACAATAGACTAAAGGAGAAAAGGTTAGGCTGACAACTGCATAACTTGCTAAGTGAGGTGGGAGGCCCTGATGGACTTCTTGTTGGGTTTAATGAGGGTTCGGATTTTCATAGTCTCCAAGTTCTGAGATGGAATTGGGTGAAGAGTAATATATTGAAAATGGCTCAAGTAATTCACTGAAATTGCACTTGGGTCCTGCTTTGGGGCTACCCACTGGCATCTGATTGGCCACTAGAAGAACAGAATGCTGGACTTGATAGATCTGTGGCCTGATTTTGTTAAAAAGCAGAGAACACAGGTCTCGTAAGATACAAGTATGCTGTTCTCTGTTCCACCTTTCAAATAGAAGTGCCTGTGTTTTTTAAAGCACTTTCAGTGTACGGTTTCTATGTTCACACTATCTGAGTTCCCTGAATTTCTCTAACATTTAGATTTCAGGGGTTAAGCTTCAGATTCCTCAGAAATTTTCTGGCTCTCTTTAAATCAGGGGTGGCCAGACTGTGGCCCTTATATACACTCCCATCATCCCTGACCACTGGCCATGCTGGAAAAGACTGATGGGAGTTGGAGTCCAACAACATCAGTAGAAGCACAGATTCTCCATCCCTGGTTTACATCTTTAAAGCTGCAATTCTATTCCTGGAGTAAGTCCCATTAAACTTAATAGAACTCTGACTTAGGAATCTTAAGGTGAACATGTGTTTATTCCAGTTGGAGTCCTCCAGTGTACTACTGGTTTGTTTGTTTTAGAGTTTTGTGTTTTGTTTTGCGTCTTTTTTGAACATTTCCTCACTGCTGCCCTTGTCTCCCTACAGTTTGTTCAGTGGAAAAGGCAGACACAAGGCACACTGAGCTCTTGTCTGCATCCAGCAGCCCAGCTTGTATTTATTTTTCCAAGTTGGCAACAGGTAGACTTGGCATAATATTAATGCAGGGCTTGAAGTTGTTGCCCTAGTGTAACAGTTTCATGAAGCCATGCATTTTGTATGCTTTAGGCTTGGAAACGTATTTATTGAGGCCCTTGAGAAATGTGGTATCCAGTGCATACTGCAAACTTAGGTAGATTTTGGTAGCCTGAGCTTTGAAGGCTCTGAATTTCAACCTCCCCTTACTCTACTTCCCAAAGCTCCACTGTGCATTATGTTCAAACAGTATGGTATATAGAGAAACGTTGCCCATGGAGAAAAACGATGGAACAGTCTTATTTTGGAGATTTGATAAAACGTGAAGAAATGCATATTCCATTCCAACGTTTGCTTTTCCTTATGTGAGAAAGCAGATTGATTTCAACTGATTCAGTTTAGTTCATCCTGATTTAGTCTAACACATCTGATACAGCGTTTTGAACTGCACAGAATGTTCACTTATTCTTTCTTTCCATTTCCAAGTTGGCCCATAACTATCATTCTGGATGCATTAGTCTTGTTGAATCTGATGCTGAGGAACCATATAGCACAAGCCCTCAGAGACCTGTGTTGACTGCCAGTCAGCTACTGAGTCCAATTCAAGGTGCTGTTGACTAGAAAAGGGCAAATCTGTCAATTTCAGTTTCTCTCTATTTCTGATTTTTCCAGTCTTAAATTCAGTTCTCTCCACATTTCCACATCACCTTGCTTTTTTTGAAAGGCCTCATAAAATCTCATCAGTAGTTTAGTGCAGATTTCTCCTAATAAACTCATTTTGGTATATTTTTTGCCTAACATACACATTTTTGCAAAGCATATTTCTCCAATAGAATGCGTTTGTGTATGTTATTTTCACTAGTATATGCATTCTTATATACACTTTGCTACAGTATATGTATTTTTGTACACATTCCTTGGCTGAAGAACTGTATTGCAAAATTCAGAGAAGTGTGATTTTTATTTTTATTTTTAAGGATGACTTTGTTTTGGTTGGCATATCATTTTGGGCATGGTGGGAAGAAGGTTGCAGGATGGAGCCGATCCAATCTCATTTTCTTTATTTGCTTAAAATATTTTAAAGCCCTTCATCCAAAAGATATCACAGTGGTGTACGACATGTATGAAACCACAACGCAGAACAGTAAGTTAAATATGAAACAATCAATAAGATTTAACAAGGCTGAGCATAATCTATTTTTAAATACCATTTAAAAAAATGTGCAGCAGCAGTCTTTACAATAAACATTCTGATTAAAGGACAAATAAAACAGATAAGTTAAAGCCTTCTTTAAAACTGGAACAGACATAACTTTTGAAAGAGAATTCCATTGGGTAGGAGTCACCACTGAGAAGACAACCACCCACACGACTAATCAGGAGTTAGTACAGTCTCCGACTCACAACAGATTAAAAAGACCTACATTGGCTCCCAGTACATTTCCGAGCAAAATTCAAAATGTTGGTGCTGACCTTTAAAGCCCTAAATGGCCTCGGCCCAGTATACCTGAAGGAGCGTCTCCACCCCCATTGTTCAGCCCCACTGAAGTCCAGCTCCAAGGGCCTTCTGGTGGATCCCTCACTGCGAGAAGCGAAGCAACAGGGAACCAGGCAGAGGGCCTTCTCAGTAGTGGAACCCACCCTGTGGAACGCCCTCCCTTCAGATGTCAAAGAAATAAACAACTATCTGAAGGCAGCCCTGTTCAGGGAAGTTTTTAATAACTGGTGTTTTAATGTACAGTGGTACCTCGGGTTACATAAGCTTCAGGTTACACACTCCGCTAACCCAGAAATAGTGCTTCAGGTTAAGAACTTTGTTTCAGGATAAGAACAGAAATCGGGCTCCGGCAGCGCGGCAGCAGCAGGAGGCCCCATTAGCTAAAGTGGTGCTTCAGGTTAAGAACAGTTTCAGGTTAAGAACGGACCTCCGGAACGAATTAAGTACTTAACCTGAGGTACCACTGTATTTTTAATCTTTTGTGGGAAGCCGCCCAGAGTGGCTGGGGAAACCCAGCCAGATGGGTAGGTGTGATGAGATGATGAGCTGCTTGTGCGTAAAATCGTATCCCCTCAGAGTTTGTTCAAGTCCACACCTCTGTCTGTGACGGAGCCCCTCAGACATGGCTCCTCTTGTCACTAGCAGATTCCGACAGTGGTTGCTTTCGTAATCGCTTCCAACATAAAAGCTCCTTAACGGAAACACGTCTTCTGGACTCTCTGCGTGACAGTTTCCGGCGAGGAGTGGGTGTTCTTACAGGAGGTCCTGAAACCTCCCCACTGTTTTCGCTGGAAGTGTCTCTGAGCCATCCCTCCAGCTCAGCTCCTCTCCCCTGCTGGTTCCCTCTTCAGCTGCTGCGTCTCTCCCAACCTGTGTGAGCCCTTTCACCTCCCTGCTGGTTCCCTCTTCAGCTGCTGCGTCTCTCCCAACCTGTGTGAGCCCTTTCACCTCCCTGCTGGTTCCCTCTTCAGCTGCTGCGTCTCTCCCAACCTGTGTGAGCCCTTTCACCTCCCTTCCGTCCGATGGCAGTTCCCTGACATCCACCTCCCCTCCAGGGCCCCCTTCACCCCCTCGCCCCCTCCTCTACGGGCGGTGAGGAGGCAAAACCCCGGAATGAACTTCCTTCATCTTCCGATGTCTCGAACACTTCTCTCAACCTGTTGCGGTTCCTGGTCTCGAAGTACACCTCCTCCTCAGAGTCCATCTCCCTTCCCCTTCCGAGTCCGGGAATCCTTCCAACTCCTCCCCCTCATCAGTGGTCCCAAAGTATTCCCTCCGGAACCTCTCCACAGGCTGAGGTTTCCTTGGGAACCTTTGATGGAACGTTTCTATCAATACCTCGTCATTGATATCTTCGGCCATTACCCAAGTGTTTTCTGACTCCGGTTCTCCTTCCCACGCTACCAAATACTCCACCTGATCCCCCTTCCACCTGGCGTCGAGGATTTCTGCCACATGGCTGCTGCATTCTCTTTCTTCTATGACCGGGCCCCGAGTGGCCAGCCCTTCTCGTCCCCTTTCGTACGGTGACAGTAACGACCTGTGAAATACTGGGTGCAGTTTCATGTGGTTGGGTAACCGGAGCCTGAAAGCCACAGGGTTGACCTGTTGAATGACCTCAAAGGGACCCAACCTCCTGGGTCTTAATTTCTTACAACCTCCTTTGAACGGCAGCCCTTGGGTTGACAGCCACACCCTATCTCCCACCCTTATGGTTTCACCTTCCCTTCGGTTCTTGTCTGCCTGCCTCTTGTATTCTTCCTTCGCCCTTTCTAAGTTGAGTTGGAGCTGACGATGGATTGCTTCCATTTCTTCCACAAAATGCTCGGCTGCCGGGACGCTCCATCTCTCCCCTCTCCCCTGGGAAAGCCCTGGGATGACACCCATAATTAGCCAAGAAGGGCTCATCCCTGTGGACACATTCTCGGCATTGTTGTAGGCAAATTCCGCCAGCGCCAACTTTTCTACCCAGTCATTCTCTCTGTCATTGACATAACACCTCAGGTATTGCTGGAGGACACCGTTTGCTCTTTCCGCCTGCCCGTTGGTTTCAGGGTGCCGGGCAGTCGAAAAATTGACCTCCACCTGCAGTAAGCTCATGAGCTTCCTCCAGAACCTGGAAGTAAATTGTTTTCCTCGGTCTGAGACCACCCTCAATGGCACCCCGTGCAACCTAAAAATGTGTTCTACAAATAACTTCGCTGTCTCTTCCGCCGTGACTGCATGCGAGCAAGCTACAAAGTGGCACATCTTTGTTAGTAGGTCTACCACCACCATGATGGCTGTTTTCCCTTTGGACTTCGGCAGATCAGTCATAAAATCTATCGACACTGCCTCCCAAGGTCGTTCTGGGGTTGGTAAGGGTTCTAATAGCCCCGCCGGCGCCCGCCTTTCCCCTTTGGCTCGCTGGCATTGCTCGCACCCTCTTACATACTCACGTACATCTTCCCTCACCTTAGGCCACCAAAATTCCCTGGTGACCAACCACATGGGTTTGTGTTGTCCAAAATGCCCCGCCGTAGGGCTGTCGTGCAACTGCGTGCGTACCCTCCCCATTGACTCTCCTTCAGGGATATACAGTGCCCCTTTGTAATACAAAGCTCCATTTCTTTCCTCGAAACCCCCTGGTTCCTCTCCCTCACTCCTAAGACCTCTGAGCTTATTCTGGGCGTATTCATCATTCTCTGTTTCCTCTACCAGTTCTCTTTGTCCCACCAATGCCGCCCCACACACCCAGCGGCCCTCTGGAATGACATGTCTCTCTTCGGGTGCCCCCTCGCCCTCCACATATTCTGGTTTGCGTGAGAGGCGTCCGCCCTAATGTTCTCTGGGCCTGGCACGTAATTAATCTCAAAGTTAAATTTGGAGAACTCCTGGGCCCATCTCACTTGCCGTTGGTTGAGCACTCGTGCCGTCCTCCAATACTCTAAGTTCTTGTGGTCAGTGCACACTTGCACCTTATGTTGTGCGCCAATTAGCAGGTGCCTCCATCTCCGGAACGCCTCATGAATGGCTAGTAGTTCTCGGTCATACACCGTGTAGTTCCTCTCGGATTTGTTCAGCTTTCGCGAAATAAAGGCACACGGTCTCCACTCTGACCCCTTCTTCCCTGGCTGTAGAAGCACCGCCCCAATCGCTCTGTCTGATGCGTCAGTTTCCACTCTCATCGGTTTTTGTAAATCCACATGCAGGAGTTGTTGTTCCGAGGCGAAGGCCCCTTTTAGTTCCTCAAATGCTCGCTCCGCCTCCTCAGTCCACACGAACTTCTTCTTACTGCTGAGACAGTCCGTAATGGGCGCCGTCAGGTGGGCAAAGTTTCGGATGAACTTACGATAGAAGTTCCCAAATCCTAGGAACCTCTGCACATCCTTCTTTGTTTTGGGTGTTTTCCATTCCAGCACCGCCTGGACCTTGCCGGGATCCATGGCCAATCCCTTGTCAGACAGGCGATACCCCAGGAATTCCACCTCCTTGGTATGAAACTGACACTTCTCCAGTTTCACCCACAGCTGGTTGGCTTGCAGCCTGCTCAACACTTCTCTGACGTCTCTCACATGCTGCTCCTCATTCTCAGAATACACCAACACGTCGTCTAAAAGGCCACACAATTCTTGTAAAGCAAAGGCCCCAGGACGTGGTTCATAAACGATTGAAATGTTGCGGAGCCTGCTTGTAGGCCGAAGGGCATAACCAAATATTCAAATGCCCCTAAAGGGGTGAACATAGTGGTTTTCCATTCATCCCCCTTCCTTATTCGTACCAGGTTGTACGCCCCCCTTAGGTCCAGCTTTGTGAAAATCTTTCCCTTCCGCACCCTTGTCAAAATGTCGTCAATCCTGGGCATAGGGAAGGCTACTGGTTCTGACACTGCATTTAAGGCCCTGAAGTCACACACCAGCCTCGGCTTGTTCGTGTTTTTGGATGTCAGGGAACTGCCATCGGACGGAAGGGAGGTGAAAGGGCTCACACAGGTTGGGAGAGACGCAGCAGCTGAAGAGGGAACCAGCAGGGAGGTGAAAGGGCTCACACAGGTTGGGAGAGACGCAGCAGCTGAAGAGGGACCCAGCAGGGAGGTGAAAGGGCTCACACAGGTTGGGAGAGACGCAGCAGCTGAAGAGGGAACCAGCAGGGTGAGAGGAGCTGACAACGAGGGATGGCTCATAGACACTTCCCGCGAGATAACATGGGAGGTTTCAGGACCTCCTGTAAGAACACCCACTCCTCGCCGGAAACTGTCACGCAGAGAGTCCAGAAGACGTGTTTCCGTTAAGGAGCTTTTATGTTGGAAGCGATTACGAAAGCAACGACTGTCGGAATGCTGTGATGAGATGATGAGCTGCTTGTGCGTAAAATCGTATCCCCTCAGAGTTTGTTCAAGTCCACACCTCTGTCTGTGACGGAGCCCCTCAGACATGGCTCCTCTAGTCACTAGCAGATTCCGACAGTGGTTGCTTTCGTAATCGCTTCCAACATAAAAGCTCCTTAACGGAAACACGTCTTCTGGACTCTCTGCGTGACAGTTTCCGGCGAGGAGTGGGTGTTCTTACAGGAGGTCCTGAAACCTCCCCACTGTTTTCGCTGGAAGTGTCTCTGAGCCATCCCTCCAGCTCAGCTCCTCTCCCCTGCTGGTTCCCTCTTCAGCTGCTGCGTCTCTCCCAACCTGTGTGAGCCCTTTCACCTCCCTGCTGGTTCCCTCTTCAGCTGCTGCGCCTCTCCCAACCTGTGTGAGCCCTTTCACCTCCCTGCTGGTTCCCTCTTCAGCTGCTGCGTCTCTCCCAACCTGTGTGAGCCCTTTCACCTCCCTTCCGTCCGATGGCAGTTCCCTGACAGTAGGGTATAAATTATTATTATTATTATTATTATTATTATTATTATTATTATGACACCCACCTTACCCCCACCCCATAAAGCCTACTAGCCATTTTTTGTATGGGAGCCCATTAGAAATTGAACTCCTCCTGTGTTTTCTTGTTCTGTTTTTTTAAAGGAAACAACAGCCACCAAGGATCAAGTACCTTGTGGACCATGAAACATGGATTGTGGGCATCAGTTTGATGGGTCCTTGTCATTTGTGGAGACCTACAACAATGGGATTTAGATCAGCTGAATATAGGATTGCAGCTTCAGCAACCACATACTAAAACGCACAAAGCTTAACAGAGCTCTGACAGCTTCTAGAATAACAGTGAACAATCTCCCCTGCCCTAATACCCGCTTATGAAAATTTAGACCACACATGACCCTATAGCCAGTAAGTTCTGTGTTTGGTTGGTTTATTTATTTATTTCAAAATGAGGTTTTGGACCACACATTAGCAAGCACCACAAGGAGGGAAAACTCCCTCTGAGAGCCACAAACTACATCAATTAATCCTTAAAATAGCAAATATGAAGAAAGTGAATATGTCAATCAATTAAAGCAGGAGGCTAAAACTAATAGAGTAAATAGAAGAGAAATTTTAGGAAAACTGAGCTGGAAATGGAAGGATTCTCTTCCCCCATGACTTGTGGGCTATATTTCTTCTTCTGAGACTTTGATGCTGTTCTCCCCACCCCCCTTTTATCCATGTTTTGGAGGTTTAGCAAAAAATAAGAACATATGAAGTATCCTGCTGGATCAGACCTACGAACCATCTAGTCTAGTTCTCACTGTGGCTAGCAGGAAACCTAAGGAAAATTCAAGAGCACTCTTCCCACTTGTGAATAAAAATATAAGATTAGACACAATGCTGGCTGACCATAACTGTGGGGCAGGCTCAGGATTCAGTGGCCCCCAGGCTGCCTCAGCCCTGCCCACCCTTGGAAAGCCCCATTTGGGCTGACAGGGATTCCCACACGGTGGGTTTAATGTTGCCAGCCTTCACATCACATTTGCAGACATGTTTATGACGCGAGTTGGTTTGGTGCCTGAAGCCAGCTCCCTGTAACGCAAATCCTCGGGGATTCTGCAAGGCACAGAAATATACACAGAGAAACAAACAAACAAATGGGAGAGGCAGCAGTGCAGATTTTTGCCCCCTATGGCAAAATGTGTAGATCTGGCTCTGGTCAGCACCATTCAAGTGATGCTGGAATAAGTCCTTTGGTGGCAACCAACAGCAGTTTAGCTCAGCCAGGGTTGTTGAGTGGAGATATGGCCCTGGTTAATAGAAACCTCACCCACAACCTGGCCTAAGGGTTTGCAGTTTTTTCAAGTTCTGCCTATTTCTGTAAGCTGCTGTGAGCATTATGTAAAAGAAGCGTTGAAATCCTTTAAGTAAATCCTTTTATGTTTTTCTCTTTTGACTGGTGAACAACACTGTTTACTAAGCTTCAGCTTCATCACATTGTTGTGATACGCAGTGGCTGTGATGCAAGCTGGCACTATTTTGGCATTGTTGTTTAGTCGTTTAGTCATGTCCGACTCTTCGTGACCCCATGGACCAGAGCACGCCAGGCACTCCTGTCTTCCACTGCCTCCTGCAGTTTGGTCAAACTCATGTTGGTAGCTTCAAGAACACTGTCCAACCATCTCGTCCTCTGTCATCCCCTTCTCCTTGTGCCCTCAATCTTTCCCAACATCAGGGTCTTTTCCAGGGAGTCTTCTCTTCTCATGAGGTGGCCAAAGTACTGGAGCCTCAGCTTCATGATCTGTCCTTCCAGTGAGCACTCAGGGCTAATTTCCTTCAGAATGGATAGGTTTGATCTTCTTGCAGTCCATGGAACTCTCAAGAGTCTCCTCCAGCACCATAATTCAAAAGCATCAATTCTTCGGCGATCAGCCTTCTTTATGGTCCAGCTCTCACTTCCATACATCACTACTGGGAAAACCATAGCTTTAACAATAGGGACCTTTGTCGGCAAGGTGATTGATGTCTCTGCTTTTTAAGATGCTGTCTAGGATTGTCATTGATTTTGCCATAGTGTTTGCTATATGTTAAAGAAAAAAAATTTATCACGCTGCTTTCTTATGTACCTTAAAGGTAAACAGAGGATACTGTTGCCACTATGCCAGTCTGATTTGTAAAATTCCTCTACGGAAGTGGAATTCTATTTTATTTGTTTAGTCGAGTGTTTGGGGCACAGGTTTCTAAATGTTTCTGAAGAGCTCCAGCACCTAGAGATGTTAACTTTGTTACTCCAGTGGGAAGAATGCTTCTTCGTATCATGCCACTTGAGAAATACAGCCTGTTTGTTAAAGAGCACAGATGCTGTAACTCTCTCAGTGAGGAGAGGGGAAGGACAGGCCAGTGGTTCAAAGAAGCTGGAAAGGTATATGCATATGGAAATAAACTAGGGTGTTACTGCCCTCTGTTGTTCACTTTGGTGAACAGTAAAGCAGTACAGTATTTGAGTTTTAAGTTTATTTGAATCCATGTCTGAATTAAGTTTTCTACAATAGTATTGAAGGTGGTTTTTTTTTGGGGGGGGGGGGTGTTGTTGTCACTTCATTATGCTTCCTTACCAGTACTGTATATTTAATTTGTAAATTTAATTTTGCTAACAGGCACCAGGCGGAAACGTTCCTGTTTAACCACAATCCTTTGGCTGATTTGATTTATGATGCCCTTTTAAAATGTTACAGGAGTGGGGGGGTTATTGGGTTGCTCTTGTTTCTATTTTGATTGTGTATTTTGTGTTTTTATATTGTGATTTTGTGCTGTGAACTGCCCTGGGACTTGTGGGTATAGGGCAGAATACAAATTTAATAAATAAGAAAATAATAACAATTGTTGTTGTTATATTACATGTGCAGTACATGTGAAAAGGATCTAGGAGTCTTGGTTGACCACAAACTTGACACGAGCCAACAGTGTGACGCGGCAGCTAAAAAAGCCAATGCAATTCTGGGCTGCATCAATAGGAGTATAGCATCTAGATCAAGGGAAGTAATAGTGCCACTGTATTCTGCTCTGGTCAGACCTCACCTGGAGTACTGTGTCCAGTTCTGGGCACCACAGTTCAAGAAGGACACTTACAAACTGGAACGTGTCCAGAGGAGGGCAACCAAAATGGTCAAAGGCCTGGAAACGATGCCTTATGAGGAACGGCTAAGGGAGCTGGGCATGTTTAGCCTGGAGAAGAGGAGGTTAAGGGGTGATATGATAGCCATGTTCAAATATATAAAAGGATGTCACCTAGAGGAGGGAGAAAGGTTGTTTTCTGCTGCTCCAGAGAAGCAGACACGGAGCAATGGATCCAAACTACAAGAAAGAAGATTCCACCTAAACATTAGGAAGAACTTCCTGACAGTAAGAGCTGTTCGACAGTGGAATTTGCTGCCAAGGAGTGTGGTGGAGTCTCTTTCTTTGGAGGTCTTTAAGCAGAGGCTTGACAACCATATGTCAGCAGTGCTCTGATGGTGTTTCCTGCTTGGCAGGTGGTTGGACTCGATGGCCCTTGTGGTCTCTTCCATCTCTATGATTCTATGATTAAGTTTGTATACCGCTCCTCACCCACAGACCTCAGGGCACTACACAATCTAAAATTACAATATAAAACCACAAAATACATAGTAAAAAAAAATTCACCGTTTTATACTTCTACAAATTTTGGGGGCTATTCCAAGCTTGTCATCACTTCTGTCTTGTGTGGATGGTGGCATTTGGGCTACATAAGGATTGATATGGAAAGATTAAGGCTACACAGCAGTTTATTCCATTCCCTGATGTTCCCCTGTTAATTTCTACATTCCACTTGATTTTTTACATGACATGAAAACCACCTCCAGAAATATAGTGGAATATAACACAACTTTAGCACTTATATCTGTGTTATTTGCTTCCAGAAAATAATTCGGTTTGAACATCATGCAGAAATGAATGCTAAACTTGTGCTGTATTCCTCTATATTTCTGGAAGCTGCTTTTACATCATGTGAAATCTCGGGGAGAGGCAGATAACCACTCCTAAGAAAGAGGATGACTAATGGGCCCTAGATGAGGCATAGGCAAACTCAGCCCTCCAGATGTTTTGGGACTACAACTCCCATCATCCCTAGCTAACAGGACCAGTGGTCAGGGATGATGGGAATTGTAGTCTCAAAACATCTGGAGGGCCGAGTTTGCCTATGCCTGATCTAACAGATGGGCATAGACTGTGTTTAGCCGGGGAGCAAGGCTCACTGCAGAGGCATACTATGGATAGTTTCTCTGCACATTGAATGAAAATAATAATAATAATAATAATAATAATAATAGTAATAGTAATAATAATAATAATAGGTTTGCTTGAAACATACAAAGCATTTGCCTCTTAGACCATAAACCTTTTATGGTACCTGTAACCAAGACCACAATGTATGATCGAAGGACTATGATATTTTAATAGGTCACAAGGCATGCAGGTCTGGTGTACATCCTACCTGTATGGATGCTTTAATTGGGTTTAAAACTATCTTCTGTCATATTGAAGATGATTTACAAATTCACAAACAGCAGCTACTGTCAGCCCATACTAAGCTGTCTGAACAAATGGACCTTTATTTACAGTAGTTGTATTAGGTTGTTTGGTTTTGGCAAACACTTCAGGAATCAGTCAAGTTTATTTTCAGGTCTTATAGAGAGATATTAAGGTTTAAATAAGTATATAATGTTGGCCTATATGCAGCAAGAATTTATAGCAATGGCACAGCTGACTGAGAGAGAGAGAGAGAGAGAGAGAACCATCTGGGAATCTCGTACTATGAATGTTTTATGTAATAGTTTTATCTAAATCAGAAGGAATTAAATAACACATTCTAAGCTGAAAATCTTGTAATATTTTCAAAAGCCTGGATTTATGAACAGGGAAATAGACTGAGCTGTGTTGTTGTTGCCTGGCAGACAAGAGAAAGATCTCCTGTGTTCCCGACATTGTTTTAAACCTCAGTGCGCTTAAGTCCTCCCCACCTCCACAAAAAAGAAGCAATATGTCCTTCAAAATAAGGGAGACACAAAGTTACTCATGAGGTATGCTTTCTTCATAATCTTCTGCTATATATGTTGGAAAGTGGCGTTTGTCCATCTGTTTTCTATGCATTTGGATGCCTATTGGCATAAAACTTGGCATGACAGATGGAGGAGCTGGTTTGGATACCATTGGACATCATTTTGAATCGAGATGGTGGACCAAAACATTCCAAACTGCACTAGTTAGGACACTTCTGTAGATACCATCACTGGGGTTGGTATGACTGATTAAGAGAAGTAGCTTTTGCTCTCTGTTTGGAAACCATCAAATGCCATTTCGATTCAAGTTGGTGAACTGTCACTGCCCTGAATTGGACAACTTTCAATATTATGGTTACTCAATTTGGCAGGATGATCCCTGAGGTGATGGTTTTGGATACCATCAGACACTATTCTGAATCAAGAGGATGGGCCGCTAAACCTTTCAAAACTGAAATGATTGGACCAAATTTGACAGGAAACTAGTAGGGCCATGCCCAAGATTTGGCCAAAGCTTGAATCACAAACTGAAGCAGATTCAGGCTTCTACCAGGTTGGGTCACAACAGCCCCAGGTCACCCCAGGTTGGGCTGCCTGGAGTGATCCAGAGCCGTCAGGGAGTGGGGTGTTAGGTGAGAAGGCAGAAAGGCAGGCAGCCTCGACAAAGAGCACCATGGAGCTGTTTCTTTTTTAAAACAAAAATTTATTTAGTTTTTCAGATTTTAAAAAATTACAATTATCAAACAGCCAACATAAAAAGAGAATTGCAAAGAGTTGTTTCAAGGGGACTCTCAAACAGTCCCACACTGTGTTTTGGTAGTGTATACAATCCATATGTATTTGCCCTGTTGTTTCTTAGGAAATACTGTGTCTTGATTCATTTCCCCTCGAGCCAGTTTAATCCATATTGAGAAAAAGAACAAGCTGGTTGTGTTTTAAGCCAGTTTTGCACACACAGTCCTACACTGAGTGCACAGTCATAGCACTACTAAGCTTCATTGTCAATTATGTTATTTAGTGATTTGGTAGGTTAGATAGCTGTGTTACCATTGACATGCTCAATGTGGCTTCCCAAAAATACACAACTGAACAAAACAGTTGCACAACAATACAGCATGAAATAATGCCGTACAAAATCATAGCAAACATTTTTCTTTTTGTTACACTTGCAGTATAAAATATAAAAAAGGCAGACATTAGGACCATCATATAGAATACAATCCTTAGCAGGCACTTGGAGAGCAGTAATTTGGTCACTTTCTAGGCTTTTTGACTGCAGCAGTGAATAAAGGGTTGGATTTCTGCCGCTTTGCTACTAAGCCTGTTGGTGATCTGGAAAGGATGTGCAGTACTTTAACTATTATTTATAATTAATACTTCTATTTATACAGTGATTTATTAGCTGAATCAAAATAGTATTTTAAAGCAGTGCAATTTTTTTGGCAATATTTTGAGTTACCTAGAGGGAATATTATAGCTTCTAGGGTATGAAGAATACAGCGGTAGTTGCAAATTACCAAAATAAGCTACTATGGCAACCCAGTCAGATTGGCAGGGTATAAATAATTTTAAAAAGTATTATTACTACTACTACTTTAAATGCAAAACAAAAATAAAAAGTAGAATCCCTTTTACAAGTTGGATTGGTAACTTGTTTTAGTAAACAGTTATGGGAGAACACAATTTTGGATATTCACACTTATATTTCCATTTTCACATTGCAAAATTGGCCTGAACTAACGACGATGTCTCCCATGATGCATCCCGCCATGATGATGCATCCCATGATGCATCCCTGCATGATGATGTCTCCCATGATGCATCCCGCCATGATGATGCATCCCATGATGCATCCCTGCATGATGATGTATCCCATGATGCACCCCAGCACCATGGTGTGCTCCATGATGCACCCCAGAACGACGTTGACGGTTTCTGTTTCCCGCACGTTCGAAAAACATGAAATCCTAAGTAGTAGAAAAAAGAACTATGAATATATGAACTCTGGACTCAAATCCATAATTTACTCTATATTTTAAAACAGCTATCCCAAAATTATTTAAATGGAACTACTGGAGAAAACATGACAAGCAAGAATAAGGAACATACAACCCTCTAGATGTGTCTGAGCTACAGCTCCCAGGACCCCCAGCCAGAAGATCTCATGCTTGAGGACAATGGGCGTTCTAGTTCAACAACATCTGGAAAGTCACACCTTTTCGATTTCTGCACTAAAGTATGGCTCACTGAACCCACTGCGGTGGAATGTGTGTGCAAGACTTGGGCACAGGCAACAATATGTCCAGCTTGTTTTCATTTTGCTTTAAATTCAAGGACTTGCATCCAGTAGCAGCACATGTCCCTAGGTCTGGTTCCTTTGTATCTTGAATGCAACTCCACGAGGCCGTAAGCAATTTATCATTTGAGGGTTGAGGAAATGTTTCCATGCTTGGAAGTTTGTACTTTGGGGGTGGATGCTTCTTCACTGTTCCTTTTATATCAAAAATGCTAAGTCAGGGGTAGGTCAGTCAGTACAGCATCAGACTCTTCATCTCAGGGTTGTGGGTTCAAGCACCACTTTGGGCAAAAGATTCCTGCATTGTAGCATGTTAGATAATCCTCTTGGTCTCTTCCAACTCTGCAGTTCTATGATTCTATAATACTAGGCTGAGCATCAAAAAAAAATTCAAATGCAAACTGAAAATTGTACAATACACATAATCCTGTGCAAATTTGCATTGGGTCCTTTTCTTTTTAAAATTCTGGATTATTTTGTTAACACACATCACTAGGCATGACTGCCCATCTTTTCTGGCACTCCAGTTACAGTAGTGACCGTTCAGTACTCATCAGAAATAATGCCTCAGAGTGGCATCATGCGGCTGCGATGGCTACTGGAAACCACAGGGTGGCAGAGGGCTTGAATCCTGCTTGCTGGTTTCCCACAGGCATCCGGGTTGGCCAGTGTGAGAACAGGACTGTGGACTTGATGGGTCATTAGTAGGCTGTTCTTACGCTCTCAACACAGTCATAAAATCTCCACCCCCATCTGAGAGCCTTCTGGCAGTTCCCTCACTGCGAGAAATGAGATTGCCACGGAACCAAGCAGAGGGCCTTCTGGGTAGTGGCACCCGTCCTGTAGAACACTCTCCCATCAGATGTCAAGGATATATGCAACTATCTGAGTTTTAGAAGACATCTGAAGGCAGCCCTGTTTAGGGAAGATTTTAATGTTTGATGATTTATCATGTTTTTAATATTCTGTTGGGAGCTGACCAGAGTGGCTGGGGAAACCCCGCCAGATGGTTGGGGTATAAATAATTTTTTAAAATATTATTATTACTACTACTTTAAAGGGAAAACAAATTTAAAAACTAAAATCCCTTTTACAAGTTGGATTCGTAACTTGTTTTAGTAAAGTTATGGGAGAACACAATTTTGGATATTCACACTCATTGCAAAATTGGCCTGAACTAACGTCGATGTATCCCGTGATGCACCCCAGCACGATGATGTATCAGTCATCACGGTTTCTTTTTCCCGTACGTTCGAAAAACATGAAATCCTAAGTAGTAGAAAAAAGAACTATCAATTACATGAACTCTGGAATCAAATCCATAATTTATTTTATATTTTACAACAGCACATGTCCCTAGGTCTGGTTCCTTCGTATCTTGAATGCAACTCCATGAGGCTGTAAGCAATTTATTGTTTGAGGGTTGAGGAAATGTTTGCATGCTTGGAAGTTCGTACTTTGTGGGTGGATGCTTCTTCACTGCTAAGTCAGGAGTAGCTCAGTCGGGACAGCATGGGACCTGATGGGTCATTGGTGGGCTATTCTTAAGCTCCCAACACAGTTATAAAATCCATTAATCACGCAATAAGAATAAATAATCTAGCAACATAACTATGGTTCTGCCACAGCTGCAGTGGCTGAGCCCAGTTCAAAGTAGTGACCTAGAAAGCCCTATATGGCTTGAGGCCCAAATACATGAAAACAGCATCTCTCCCAGCACGAAGCTACCTGGACCCTACATTCATCCCCCCAAGGCCTCTTTTCCAGCTATGGAAGGCTCTGCACAGTGAGGGTGGCCTCAACATATTTTCAACGCCAGGTTACTACTTACCTTAGGCATTTGTTGAATTCTGATGGGTTAGCATAACCCATAGAGGTTTTTATAATAAGAAGCAGTTTATAAATTCTTTAGGAGTAAGTAAAAAACTAAACTAAAATATACAGCTGGAGTTTTCAAAGTTGCTGTTGCTGCTTTGTGAAGTGTCTTGGTAATTGGTATGCTTTTAACTCTATATTTTTGCATTGCCTGGAACTGTATTAAGGGACAAATAAATAAAACAATCATAGTAATGCTACTCTGCTTTCTTTCCACATATATCTACAGCTCTGGATTCAATGCATGTTTTGACCAGTTATCTTCCAGTAATAGCAGCTGGCAATGTGACCTCGTGTACAGCTTAAGCTACCTCAGAATAAGCAATGAATTTTGCTGCTACGACTGAGCTGCAATTCCTTCCACATGAAGCTTGCTTGCAAGAAGCCACCTTCTTCCTCACATCATTATCCTATTAGTACCAGCCTCTCTGTCTTCTGTCAGAAATAGATTACCATTTAGTTCATGCCCTTGGTATAATACCCAAGGAATTGGCAGGTATGGAGATCCAAGAAGCGCAGTTATGAATAAGTATGGATTGCAAAGAATTCTAGAGCAAAGAAGCTTTCTTTTACTTGTCAGAGCAAACCATCCAAAGCAACTGAATTTTGATGACTGAAAGAATCCTTTCTGCCATTTGTATTGTTGGAGAAGAAAATGTTCTGGACAGAAATTTTAGGAGTTGAAACCACTGTAGCTGGGAGAAATACTTGTGGGTGGTTCTCTACCCTTGAGAATCACGAAACTTTGCAATAATAGTCTGCCTGCCTGCCCTTCATAAATGCCCTTGTCACTTTCTCCTTAAGATTTCAATTTTTAGTATACAGTGGTACCTCGGGTTAAGAACTTAGTTCGTTCCGGAGGTTGGTTCTTAACCTGAAACTGTTCTTAACCTGAGGTGCCACTTTAGCTAATGGGGCCTCCCACTGCCGCCGCCGCGCAATTTCTGTTCTCATCCTGAAACAAAGCTCTTAACCCAAGGTACTATTTCTGGGTTAGTGGAGTCTGTAACCTGAAGCGTGTGTAACCTGAAGCATCTGTAACCCGAGGTATCACTGTACACTTGAAGAATTGTTGCTGGCTAAAGAAAATATGGCCTGGCCTCAAAGGTAAGAAGAATGAAAAACTTGATATTGTTGAAATCATCTGATGAAAATGAAGAGGTTGTAGATGTATAGGCCCACTGTCTCAGCAACATCCAAGCGGAAATAGAATGTCTATATTATCCATTTTCTCAACTACTTTGTGATGGCCTGGGATTTGGACTCGGAGGCTGAACCTGAGGGATCCCAGCCTGCACAGGAGACCCCGCCTCCAGAACCAGCTGAGCCGGGGCTGGGGCCTGAGCCTGAAGGGTCCTCACCTGTGCTGGATCCTCAGGTGCAGGCACCAGCTGAGTCTGCTCTGGCCCCTGAGGTGATGGAGGACACATTGCCTGCAGGTGCTCCACTCTCAGCCCCGTCAGAGGTAGTCTCTGGGTCTGGTAACCCTCCAGCCACTCCTGAGCTGCAGGCTCAGGGCAGAGAGGCGGAGGGAACTAAGTTCCCGCAGGAGGAGTGCTCGCCTCCAGGCCAGGAGAGGCGAGTCACCTGTGGACTGGGGCCGCCCTATGCCTTGGGGCAGATAAAAGCCAGCCAGCCCCAGTCCCAAGTTGCGGGAGCAACATTGTTGGTAGCCAGTTCCTGCCTGCACCTGTCCTGCTGGATCTCCTGACCTCACTCGACTCCCTGCCTTGGACCCAGCTTCAGCTTTGATGGACTGCTTCCATACTGCAACCTCGACCTCATACTGGACTTGGATCTCGCCTCACAGTTAGCCCACGGGACCAGCACATACTTCTTCTTCAGCACACTGTCTACTTTGCCCACTTATGCTGCATTCTCCATCCATCCAATATTATCTCCTTATCTTCTCTGCTGTGAAGTACAGCACTGTTTATAAGAAGAGACTGCTGGATCAGGCCAATGACCCATCTAGTCCAGCATCCTGTTCTCACAGCGGCCAGCCAGATGCCTGTGAGAAACCCACAATCAAGATTCAAGCACAAAAGCACTCTTCCCTCCCATGGTTTTCAGCAACTGGTATTCAGAATCATTGCTGCCTCCAACTGCAGAATAGCCACCATGGCTAATAACCATCAATAGCCCTCTTCTCCATTATAAGTTTGCTTATAAGGTTGAGTGGGACTGCAGTCTTAGATGGTAGCTTCTTCATTTTAAATGAATTAAACCATCAGTGTAAAGGAAATAATTTACTATACTCCTAACACCAAACAAACTGGATTCTTGTTTGGTATTAGGAATTTAGTAAATTATTTCCTTTATGATGACAGTTTAATTCTGTTGCACATGGGCCCTGGGCATCCAGTTGTGAGGAAGAGCGGTGTAACATTAAAATAAAGGTCCTTGTGCCAGTTCCCCTGAACCACTGCTCCAGTGCAGTGGACCTTAATATCATACTGTAGAGTCTGAGGTACAGTATAAGGCTTACCAGGAGCATGCAGGCCCCCATGGTGATTGCTTTCATTTTGATATCAAGGTCCATGGGGAACTGGACATCAAAGTTGCTTGCATCTGTGGCAGCCTCTCTTGCCATGCCTGCCCACTTCCTATTGATTGTCCCGACTGTAGAGTTCCCATCCAGTGTCTTCACCTGGTTTTTAATATGAACAGAAAAAAATATTTTATTTGCAAGGTGTTTTTTTGTTTTCATTTAACTACATTTATACAGTGCATTCAATAAAATACCGTATTTTTTGCTCTATAAGACTCACTTTTCCCCTCCTAAAAAGTAAGGGGAAATGTGTGTGCATCTTATGGAGCGAATGCAGGCTGCGCAGGCTTTCACTGCGCAGCGATCCCTCTTGCTGCTCTGGCTTCTGAGATTCAGAAATTTTTTTTCTTGTTTTCCTCCTCCAAAAACTAGGTGCGTCTTGTGGTCTTATAGAGCGAAAAATATGGGTAAGCACACAGTATAACATAAAGCACAAAAATAAGGCACAGCACTAATAATTAAAATTATGAAATGGCCCTAAGTATAGAGAGTTCATCATCAGACATAACCTATCAATAAATATATATCAACTTCAACATCAATTAAAAATTACACATCTTAATAACAATAAATGCTATAGTCATTTAAAAGGGTCCAGCGGATCTCCGGCTGAGCCATGAGGTTCCTGGTTCAAGCTGATCTACACTGGTGAAACTCCCTCAGCTGGAACACCCCTAGCCAGCTTGAGCTGAGCATGGCAGATCTTAAGGTGGCGTAAGCCTTGAAAGCAGGGAATTCCAGGGGTGAGACCGGGGCGGGGGGAACCTCGGGCTGGATCCTAAGCCTATTCAGCTCAAGTCACATGACCTGGTAAATTCGGCATAAGTTAAGCCAGCAAAAAATGGTATAACTCCAAACCTTTGTTAAAGGATTGTTTTCCCTCTGCCAGGATTAGGTTGGTTTAGCCAGCAGCAACCCTGCTCCCAAATGGAGTTTGGAACCGGTGTACCTTACGCTGGCTTAATTTAAGTTGGCATACTTCACATTAGCTTCCCATACTTAGGATTAATCCCACCCCCATCTGTCCCCTTTCAGTTTCTCTGCCAGCATATCACAGGCATAAGCCTGTAGTTTAGCGGAAGAGCTTTTGCTTTGCAGATTCACTCCCCAGCATTTCCAGGTAGGTCAGCGGATTGAGGCTGAATCTCAACAAGGCAGAAGTATTGTTTCTGGGTGACAGGGGGTGAGCAGGTGTGGAGACTCCCTGGTCCTGAATGGGGTAACTGTCCCACTAAAGAACCAGGTGTGCAGCCTTGGGTTCACACGTCAATTCTGTGTCCAAGCCGTCTGTCTACCAGCTCTACTGGCACATAAGCTGAGACCCTGCCTGCCTGAGCACTGTCTCACTGAGGTGGTACATACTCTGGTTAACTCTTTTTTGGACTACTGCAATGCACTCTACATGGGGCTACCTTTGAAGGTGACTCGGAAACTACAACTAATCCAGAATGCGGCAGCTAGACTGGTGACTGGGAGCAGCCGCTGGGACCATTTAACACTGGCCCTAAAGGATCTTCACTAGCTCCCAGTATGTTTCTGAGCACTATTCAAAGTGTTGGTGCTGAGATTTAAAGCCCTAAATGGCCTTGGCCTTGTATACCTGAAGGAGCACCTCTACCCCCATCATTCAGCCCAGACAGAGATCCAGCTCCGAGAGCCTTTTGGCAGTTCCCTTATTGCAAGAACTGAAGCTACAGGGAACCAGGCAGAGGACCTTCTCAGTAGCAGCACTCAGGAAGCTTGTAATATCTGATGTTTCATTGTATTTTTATATTCTGTTGGAAGCCGCCCAGTGTGGCTGGGGAAACCCAGTCAGATGGGCGGGGTACAAAAAAAATGTTGCTGTTGCTGCTGCTGGAAGAGTCTGCCTGAAACCCTGGAGAGTCAGTCCAGACGTTACTTAAGCTAAATGGACCCATGTTCCCACTCAATATAAGACAGCTTCCTATGTTCCTGTGTACAGGTTTTTGCTCAACCTTATGTTGTGCTTGCAGGGGTTCAGCAGTCTGATGCTTCTAAGTGGCTATAGCATTTATTGTTCTTGCTTTAGGATTGCCCCCCGAATCACATATTCCTTCCATTCACAGCCCTGCCACAACCCAGGCCTGGTGCAGGACCTGATGCAAGGTCCCCCCAACACAACACACTTGCCAGACTGGAACAAAGCAGAGTATGGGGATGCAAGGAAGGAGCCAATTCTGTACCATACTGTGTATGTCACTATCAGCGCTTTCCCCATTCCAATACAGTTTGGCTTCCACTAAAACCTACAGTTTGTTTTGCTATCCCACGGTGAGCAAAATTAACATAATTAATTAATTATGTGATCAGCGTCAATGCATTTCAATGGAAGGGAAATATCAAAAACAAATAGAAAATATCTGCTGTGTGCACAACGTTTGCAGACAGCAAATGCCCATCATATTTGCTTTTATGATTTCCATTCCTGACCTTGAACAAAACGCTTTGGACAGAATTATCCAACACCCCTAGCCCTGAGACGCTAACACCTGCTACTATGAGTAAATTCAATGCCCCAATAATGAATGCAATTAGTGTTCTGATACAATATACTTCAATAACAAAGATCTGGCAGGGAAACCTAGGAATTTAGCTTTTTAAGGATTGACTTACCTCGAAATGAATATCCTGCCAACAGCGGCATGGCACACATGGCCCAGTCATTTTAAGTACGCTTTCTCTGGCCTCGTTTTGGAGAACAAATTTCGGGAGAAAGGGATGCCACTTCTGTTTAACATAACCAATGACTGTGCCTAGTGGGGCCTGAACTTCAAGCTTCAAAGGAAAAACAGCACAGTAAGAACAGGACCTTGCACTTTCGTCTAGTGCAGAAATGCACAAATAAGAATTTCCAGGTTTATAATACAAGCTGGAGTATGCCCAGGATGAAAATACATGGGGAAAATAGGTTAACCAAAGGTATAGTGTGTCCTCACATACATGGCATGTATTTTCTTGAGGAAAGAGATGTGAAGGTTTCATAATTCTAATGAATTGAATCTCTGTAATTAAAAATATGAACTGAAATGATGGGAGCCACCTGAAAAGAGCCACAAAGAAATCTTGAGAATTAATAAGTAGGTATCCCTAAAGACGCAGGTGGCGCTGTGGATTAAACCACAGAGCCTAGGACTTGCTGATCAGAAGGTCGGCGGTTCGAATTCCCGTGACAGGGTGAGCTCCCGTTGCTCGGTCCCTGCTCCTGCCAACCTAGCAGTTCGAAAGCACGTCAAAGTGCAAGTAGATAAATAGGTACTGCTCTGGTGGGAAGGTAAACGGTGTTTCTGTGCACTGCTCTGGTTTGCCAGAAGCGGCTTAGTCATGCTGGCCACATGACCCGGAAGCTGTATGCCAGCTCCCTCAGCCAATAAAGCGAGATGAGTGCCGCAACCCCAGAGTCGGCCACGACTGGACCTAATGGTCAGGGGTCCCTTTACCTTTACCTATCCCTAAAGAGTATCATCTTGAAAGTTGGAAAGACTAATTTGAGGAAGAAAATCAGAAGATGGGCTCCTAGGAAAAGTGCAAGTTTACCTCTTGCAAGCAGCAAATACAAGGGCAGCAGCAAATGGAACACTGGAAATCTCTTGTCAGCTGCATGATTGGCTGGCTTGCACTGTCATAGAACTTAATGGTGAAGGGGCGTATTGCCCCATAACAATTCAGAGTGTAGTCGTCATTTTCCTCAGCTGCAAAATACACCATCTGCCCCACAGAGTTTCTGACTTCATATCTGTTGCAAGTTTCAAGGCCACTTATCACTGAAAAGGAAGCAACATCAGTTTGAGTGCTTACGTAGTTGATCCAAACGCTTGTCATGAACATTATGAACAAAAATTGGAGCCATCAACTGTAGCCTCAAATCTACAGTACTAAAGCCTTAGAACGGGGGTCAGCAAACTTTTCAGCAGGGGGCCAGTCCACTGTCCCTCAGACCTTGTGGGGGGGGGGGCGGACTATACAGGTATTCTGGAAAAAAAAAATGAACGAATTCCTATGCCCCACAAATTACTCAGAGATGCATTTTAAATAAAAGGACACATTCTACTCATGTAAAAACATGCTGATTCCCAGACCGTCTGCGGGCTAGATTTAGAAGGCGATTCGGCAGTATCTGGCCCCCGGGCCTTAGTTTGCCTACCCATGCCTTAGAAGAATATTCAGCTTCTTGCCTGTCTAGTAAAATAAGACAACATGTAGGTATTACGCTGCCTTATTGTCTGTCCAAACACTGAACCAGTTGAGCAAGCAGCAAAGAGAGGCTGCCGGGCCTCACTACAGGTGACGTTAAGGACACGATTAGCAACATGTATTTGTAAATGTTAATATACTAGGTTCAGAGGGGATGGTTAAAGATTTCAGCAGGAGGAGATGTTTAAACCTGCCTCTCCAGTTGCAGTTTCCACAAAATCTAACACCTTCATGGACAGTAATTAGCACTGGAGGAAAGTTCCTCTTGGTTCCAATGAGAACTTTCCCCCCTAATGTTAACTGCTGCAGGGTGGGGCATGATTTCAAATGAAATGGGCCTAGAGAAAAGATGAAGCCTGCACTCCACACATGTCTAGGTAACAACCTGGTCCTTAATATTTTTAAGGTACAATGTGATTGCTCATCATGTCATTAACATTACATGCAGTCATGTTTCAGGATGTGAAAATCATTTTGTACAAATAAGGGAAGAAAAGGAAAAGAATGCTCTCACTTGGATTCTTAGTCTTTTTTGCACAACACATTTTTTTTTACTACTACTATTTATTATTATTTTTGATCTTTGGGTCAGCTGGCTAATTTGCTTTTACAAAAGTGCTGTTTCACCCCATCCCATTTTGGCTGTTTTTCCCAATTTGTTTTATTCTGAGTTGTTGTTTATCACACACCACCTCTAATATAGGGAAGGTGGCTAACGCATAGCTTTAGTAATAGAGAACATCCTGGATTTTAAAAAAGCACAGCCATCAATTTGAAAGTCACTCTCAATGCTGAATTAGAATTTAAGTAAGATAGCAAGATCATACTTTCCATCAGCTCAATCTGTTGTTGAATTGATAGGTGATCAAGCTGTTGCAAAGATAAAAGGCAAAAGACAAGAGCATACATGTTAAAACAGAAATGCATTACAAAACGATTACATAGGTGCAATTATTTTAATGTAACATTGTACATTTTTGGTAATATTTATGGTCATTTACACTGCCACCATTTTCGTTTTCTGCACACTTGCTTAGAGGTGCTTATATCCACTGTTGATATTCATCTGTCTCGAGAGACAATGGAGTGTGCCTCCAGGGGTGAAGCCAAACTTCTGCATTAGCCAGCTCCTCCTCAATGAGGAAGGCAAAGCAATGCAGTTCCTTTTGAATGTTATGAAAGGGCAGAAAACGGCTAATTGTTCTTTTTATCATTTATTTTATTTTTATTGCGATGGTGGGTGTCTGCGGAGAGTGGTGGAGGGAGATGGTAGGCAGCTATCCATCTACTCAAATCAAGAGAATGTGATTTTGAAAGTTTGGGTGGTAAGAAAAGAAAAGGAAAGGAAAGGAAAGGAAAGGAAAGGAAAGAAAGAAAAACCACAGCTGGTTCTTGTGCATGGCTTCCCAATTATGATTGCCAGGATCAAGGCAGGGTTCACCATGGCAACTGTGGTGACCATATTTGTGGAGACTGCTGTGCTTGGTAAATGATGAGACATAGGGATAAATGGAGGGAGATACCTGGCTTAAATATTCCAATCCTGGAGGGCATTTTGGAATTGCAGGAGGTGGCGGCATCCAAATCACAGGCACATTAGGCTGATACTGAACCGGGACAGCACTGTAAGTTGCTGGCAGACCTAGGAAATTTGAAGAAAGTTATCCAGGAGTGTTTTGAAAGATCAAAACCTAATTAAAACATTATTTTAACCTCTAGAATTCTTGAAGACCCTAAAGCTGCAATCCTAACTCCCATTTACCTGGGAGGAAGATCCGCTGAATTCAACAGGACTTGGTTCCAAGTCGACATGGCTAGGGTTGCACTGCAAATCAGAAACAACTGAAAGCAAACTGAGCAGCTTCAGAAGGATTCGTGGTTGTACTGTATGTTTCAACAACAACCCTTCGCTTTCACCCATCGGTAAGAGCCCATAAGGGCATTCAATAAGGTGGAAGGGTCACTTTCAGTTTCCATACACTCTATGCCTCCGAACTACAGCCTTGCTGTATTATATTTGATCATGGATTCCTTTCATTGTGGCAAATCATTTTGGATAATTTCACAAATGTGATTTATAACTACTGAAAATAAATTCAATGTTAATTCTTCATCATGTTCCAATTAAATTCTGCAATAATCTCAGTCAAGATCGCAAGACTTTCTTTTTTCTTTTCTTTTTTCCTTTTTTTAAGTCGGCTGTGTTACAGGAAAGAAAATGCATTTCAAATGCAAGTTTTTCACAAATGCAAGGTTTCACAAACTTGTCATCAATGGCTGAAAAATCCACTAGAGGGCGCACAGAGTATTCATCATACACACAGGGGTGTAAAATGAAAAATCAAAACACTGTACACTACTTTATACAAACGATTTACACCACCTCATTGTTGATAGATGTGTTGGAGGCCTGTAAGGGATATGGGGACAATGCGCTCCCCAGTTTCAATTCACCTAAATTCCAGTTCAAAACATAATTTAACTTCAAGCAAAATCACACCTGTTTCTTTGCCGCCCACCTCTCCCTGCTCACATTGGGAGGAAGCAAGCTATGATGTGCAAGCCAAGAACAAACTTCGGCTACAAGTTGTGCTTTGTTAGTGGCAAAACAAACCACAATCCCTGCTACAGACACAACACTAAACCAAGGTTCATGGTTGTTTCTCCCAGCGGTGACACTTCCATCATCCACAGTGGGTGTGAGTTCACTCTCACACAATAAACCATGGCTTTTGGCTTACTGTGCGATGTGGTGATGCAACAACTCAGGTTTTATGCTGTGTGCCTTACCATTGTACTACAAAATTCTGAACAGATAACAGCAACTGAGTCGTGATTAAGGATAGGAAACAGACTTTCAAATCCCCAGGAAGCCAGTAAGCTTAGCCTAACTTGTTGGATTTATTGGGGGGGAAATATGGGCAGGAGGTGGATCTTGGAGGAAAGGCAGGATATAAATGTAATAAATGAAGATTTAAATGAATAGTCATACAGCCACATTCTGAATATTTCACCTATCTAAACATCATTTTGTAAGCAAACGAAGAAAGCCTGCATAGACCCAACTGCTTACCTGGGACTGCAGGTCCAGGCGCATTCGGAGGATATCCATATTGGGCTTGGCCAGGTGGATATCCTGGGCCTGGATATTGTGGAGGTGGTGGGGTAGGCTCAGATTCCTTTGCTGGAAGAAGAGAAAGACAGTCAGGTGTATGGTACGTTACACTTGTGCCCTGCATCTCCATTATCCATACCTAGACACTGTGCATGTGAAACATTGTGAAGCCTGTTAATGCTTTTGGGGCTGGGTTATTGGTTTGTTTTTGTTTTAATTATGCATTTTGTGTTTTGTATTGTGTATTTTTTTATGTGAAGTGCCCTGAGATCTGTGGAGGAAGGGCAGCATACAAATTTCATAAATAAAAATAAAATAAATACATGAGAGAGGTGAGGACAAAAGATTATGGATCAAAATTCAATTGCCAATTGCTGGGGATCCTTACACCCCTATTTTAGCCTTTTTAGAAATGCTAGTTTGTTGCAATATTTATATTAAAATGTGTTAGGTTTACCATTTCTAAAAATTTTATAAATGTTTATAAACATTTTATAAAATTATTTCTTTAAAATATTAATAAACACATTGCCATTTTAATTTGGAAGTCAGCTGGTTGTAGAGAGAGAGAAACGTAGGCTGTGAGGTGCAAAACACCAAAAGTTGTCAACCTGCAACTTCTGAGTTTCATTTCCTTTGACCTCAATGCCACTGGGTGCCTGGAGGCAGTTGGAGGATGGATGGCGGCTAATGGATTGAGATTGAATCCTGACAAGACAGAAGTACTGTTCTTGGGGGACAGGGGGCAGGCAGGTGTGGAGGACTCCCTGATCCTGAATGGGGTAACTGTGCCCCTGAAGGACCAGGTGCACAGCCTGGGAGTCATTCTGGACTCACAGCTGTCCACGGAGGCACAGGTCAATTCTGTGTCCAGGGCAGCTGTCTAACAGCTCCATCTGGTACGCAGGCTAAGACCCTACCTGCCCGTAGACTGTCTTGCCAGAGTGGTGCATGCTCTAGTTATCTCCCGCTTGGACTACTGCAATGCGGTCTACGTAGGGCTACCTTTGAACTACAACTAATCCAGAATGCGGCAGCTAAACTGGTGAATGGGAGCAGCCGCCGAGACCACAAATAAAGATCTACACTGGCTTCCAGTACGTTTCTGAGCACAATCCAAAGTGTTGGTGCTGACCTTTAAAGCCCTAAACAGCCTTGGCCCACTATACCGAAAAGAGCATCTCCACACCCATTGTTCAGCCTGGACACTGAGGCCCAGCTCTGAGAGCCTTCTGGCAGTTGCCTCACTGTGAGAAGCGAAGTTACAGGGAACCAGGCCGAGGGCCTTCTTGGTAGTGGAGCCCACCCTGTGGAACGCCCTCCCATCAGATGTCAAAGAAATAAACAACTATCTGACTTTTAGAAGACATCTGAAGGCAGGGAAGTTTATAATGACTGAACATTTTAATGTATTTTTAATCTTTTGTTGGAAGCCGCCCAGTGGCTGGGGAAGCCCAGGCAGATGGGCGGATTATGAATATTATTATTATTATTATTATTATTATTATTATTATTACTACCACCGGGTTCATCAGTCAGTGCAGACTTTTCAGCACCGGATTTATATGCTGCCAATACATAGACTGTCCCACCAACAGCCTATCTGCAGCATTTTCAATCAGCTGCAGCTTCCTATTTTCCTAATATAATGCATTTTTGTATGGTTTTTGCCCTTAAATATTCATATTTAAACGCACACTTTACTCTAGTTAATAGAAATATTTTACACATTACTCGGCTGGAGAATTGTATTGCAAAATTCAGATAAATGTGAATTTCAAATGTTTGCTGTATTTTGGTTTTGTATGTTATTTCAGGAAGTGAGAATTATGTAACTTTGCCTTCAAATGTAACCTGAATCAAATTTCTCTCCCAACTCTACCTAACAGAAGAGATTCCTGCTTCTGTGGCATTATTTTAAGTCTTGCTCTTAAATTGGAAACTTGAGCCCCCTCCTACATCAGACTGGAAATAAGAACAGAAGCAGAGAGGCATTCATGCAAGCAAAACCAAGGAATGTGCATATTCCAAGCTCAAAAGCAAATAAGTCACACACACAAACTGCTTTTTGTTGTTTTACTCACATGGCATTTCCATGATTTTGCATACAATCCTGTCTGGAAAAAAATAATATATTTATTTTACAGTGTGATCATTTCTCCCCACTTCAGTTTGCTCTTTGGGATGATTGACAAAAACAAATGTTACATCTGACCAGCTGTTATGAAAAGATAACATAGTCCATGTTTGTTTTCAAGGCACCCTTGTGGAGACATGAAATATACAGCTATGGATGCTACAATCCTAAACACACTCACTATGAAGTAAGTCCCATTGAACTTGCTTCTCTGAATATATATGTACTGGACTGCACTGTACAAAACTGCAGACAGAATTCCATTTTGGTTCCAGGTTTCTTGGTTCGAAATCATAGATTTCCACCGAAAACCCCCCTGCCTGTTCCAAGGTTTGTTCAGTTGTATTTGCACTGCCATTCCCCATCCTCATCTGCAATGTTATCAACTATGCAACTCCTTCAAGAGCATGAATATAATCTTTCAGTTGAAGTCACCATACATCAGGGGCTTTCTAATCTTATCAATGCACACACAGTATTTCTCAAAATGAGGGGGAGTTAGAAAATGTTTTGGAAATCCTACAGCACAACAGAAATTTCTTCTGTGCAACCGCTGTTTGCAATGTTAAAGTTCTTTTATGCAATAGGCCACTCGGAAGGGTTATTCTAACACATACTCAAGATGTATGGAGCAGGAAGGAAGAATCTGTAGCTTCTGGATATTGTTGGACTCCAACTCTAATTGTCTATTGGCAATCTTGGCTGCAGCGGATGGGGTTTGGAACTACAAGTTCCCTATGCCTGCCCTAGGGAAATCCTGCAGGAAGGGACTTCCGGGGTGGCGCCTCCGGAAAATGGCGGAATTCCCTTCGAACTGAAGGGAACCCGCTGCACGGAGGCTTGGGTCCTGCCGCTACGGCGCAGCGGGGGCCCTTAAAAACCACAGGCGGAAGAAGCCTGTGGTCGTGGGACTCGGCGGGCACCGAGAGCGCTCTCTCCCCTTGTTCAGGAGCCCGGCAACGGGCTCCGGAGCGGGAGGTGCGTGGTGCTGTGAGTCGACTGCTTCCTCCGTGCAGCAAAGCCGCACTGCCGTTTTCGGAGAGCGCTGCCTTCTTCTTGGACAATCTGGCATCTAAAATATCTATCCGTGAGTACCTGATCTTGGAAGAGTTGAACCACTTTTAAGATTGGAGTATAAATAAATAGCATTGGATTTGGACTTGAAATTGAACTTAATTGGGACTCGGAACGGAAAGGTCTAAACAGGAAGTCAACCTTCCGTTCTTTTGTTACGTGAAGAAAGCAAAGACAAATTATACTAAAGCTTGAAAATTAAATTCTGAGAGAACTAAAATTCAACATCTAAGATTTCTGAACCCCCCTTTGACTGCAGGAGAAGAAGGGGGAGGTTTTGGTTTAACCCTGCGGAAGTGAGTTTAAAATAAAGTAATTTTCCACCGCCCTGAACCAGGAGCGGGCTGTCAGAACTGACGTTTTGAAGTTTATCCAGCTCGACAGATAGTTAAAAGAAGGGTAACATTTTGACTTTACTGTTGCCTCTTAGGGGGAATTTTGGATAAAGTGTTTTTGGAAAAAGTAAGATTGTTGCAAAAGTAAAATCTGTTCCATCTAGTGGAACTGAGTGAAATTGCAATGCAGAGAGTTTAAAAAGAAGAGCTATTCTCGTGGGAAAGAATTTTCTTTGACCTTGAAGGACAATGCTTGTACAAAGGCTTCAACAAGTGTTCCTGGAAGGTTTTGCAAAATTAAGTGCCCAGCTGGACCAGATGCGTCAGGAGTCGACCTTGATGATGGAAGCTACCAGAGCACAGCAGCAAACAAATGAAATTCAGTTAAAGTCTATACAAGTATATGAACCTGCTGTAGCGACGGAGGCTTCAGAGATGGAGGGATCATTGGATGGGCAAGATCAGCCTTTGAACTTGATAAATGAACTTGGGGCAAATCTGATGGGCCATCAGAAGATTGGAGTAGTCGAAGTCTCCAAGCTCTGTGGAAAATGGAACTGGCAATATCTGCTCTCTGGCTTGGGTAATGGGTCTGGAATGGACTTGTTGCAAAGAGTTAAAAGCATCTTTCTGTTGGAGTCTCCACGACTGAAAGGGAAATATCAACAAGAGCGGCGAAAGGGGCAAGAAAGAGACTTGAGGGCCTCGGATACGAGACAACCAGGTTAACGAGCTGGATCATTGAGATTAAAAGGACTGACAATCTTGGGTCCTGGGGAGGGGAGGCTGGAAGCTGACTGGACTGAATTTGACTTATTATTTTTTCTTTCTTATTTTTTAATATTGGGAATGTTTATAAATGTTTGAAGGGTGTTGAATGAAATTATATGGCTTAAGTAAGGATTGGTAAATGATTTGTAAAAAGGTAATGATGCAAGAACCTGCTAAATATTGAATATTGAATTAAAGTTTATATATGACAAGAGGGAAAATAGAATAAGGAAATGTAATTATAGATTGTTATGGAAAAAAAGACAGAAAGGATTTGCTGTGAAAATTAAAAACTAAGAAACAAGAGAGGGGAGGAGGAGGAAGTCTAGAAAAGAAGTTAATGGAGATCGTAAAGAACTATATATTTCTGTTTTTCTGTTTTTCTTTTTATTTCTTTTTTGCGGCTGGGTTTTCTTTTCTTTTTCTTTAATATCTTTGTATTACTTTTGTTATTTTTGTATTTTTAATTTTTTTTGGAAATTTTCGTTGTTACTCTTTGAAAACTTAATAAATATCAATTTAAAAAAAAAAAAAAAAAAGGAAATCCTGCAGGAAGCCTGTGCTACAGAACCCAGCTAATGTAGCATGTAGGGTTCTGATAATAAACTAGTTCACTTACCACCACTCTGTATAGCCTGAAATGAGTTATTCAGTCCAACAGCCAATGGAAACACTATTCATTTCCTCAGGGGGTGACAGAGTTAAAATGAGGGGGGGAACGATCCTTGAGACAGGAATTTCCTTACTTGCTTGTGTTGAAGGATAATTTGCTAGACTGGGTAGAAAGATGGGGTGGGTAGGCAGGGTATATTGAGGGTAGATTCCCATGGTTGGAATTCTATGGCATGTTATTAGCAAATGTTCCATCAGCTTGCCAGGTGGAATGACCTCCTTCCCCTCTCCCTGTGTGCAATTCTGGGCTGCATCAATAGGAGTATAGCATCTAGATCAAGGGAAGTAATAGTGCCACTGTATTCTGCTCTGGTCAGAACTCACCTGGAGTACTGTGTCCAGTTCTGGGCACCACAGTTCAAGAAGGACACTGACAAACTGGAACGTGTCTAGAGGAGGGCAACCAAAATGGTCAAAGGCCTGGAAACGATGCCTTATGAGGAACGGCTAAGAGAGCTGGGCATGTTTAGCCTGGAGAAGAGGAGGTTAAGGGGTGATATGATAGCCATGTTCAAATATATAAAAGGATGTCACATAGAGGAGGGAGAAAGGTTGTTTTCTGCTGCTCCAGAGAAGCGGACACGGAGCAATGGATCCAAACTACAAGAAAGAAGATTCCACCTAAACATTAGGAAGAACTTCCTGACAGTAAGAGCTGTTCGACAGTGGAATTTGCTGCCAAGGAGTGTGGTGGAGTCTCCTTCTTTGGAGGTCTTTAAGCAAAGGCTTGACAACCATATGTCAGGAGTGCTCTGATGGTGTTTCCTGCTTGGCAGGGGGTTGGACTCGATGGCCCTTGTGGTCTCTTCCAACTCTATGATTCTATGATTCTATGATTCTATTCTGTGGGTTCCCCTGAGCCAATTTGGGGGGGGTGCATGGGGGAAGGAGATGGGAGAAGCTGCATGGCACAAGTGGAAGCCCTTATGAAGGTCTTCCTGTGATGGGGTTCATCGGGTGAATCCCATCGCACAACTGACAGCATTTGTCCTATATCAGCAGTGGCATGTGTGGTGGGGCAGAGCCACCTAACAATGCCATCATCACTGTTGTTGACCTGGACAGGGTGATGGTGAGGTCAGGGCTGTATAGTTGCAGTGGCAGGAGCTTGTTGCAACCATGTGGCCCTGACCTTGTTGTTGCTCCAGTTTCACTAAGGAAAGAAGCAGAAATGCTGGTATCAAGAGGTAGCCTCACTCTGGAGTACAACTGAATATAAACAATTATAATTACAGATTGGGACCTAGTCTCTGGGCAAATGCTCTTCTCATCAATAGACACTGCAGCTTCTGTTTAATAAGATGCAGTTTGCTGGCAGAACAATGAGCCAGATTAACGTAAGGGCCACCATCTTCCACATGGGCCTGTCCAGTTATGGAGCTATGTACTGGAAAACCTTCTTCACATCCCTTTGCCTTCAAAAGTTAGATGGGTGAGGACTGAAGCGAGGACCTCTTCAGTGGTAGTGCCATGATTTTGGAATTCACCTGGCACTGAGGGTGCCTCCAGGCAGGAGCATTCTCTCACAAACAAGTCATTGAGATCCAATATTTCTGTGTGAGCCAGGCATAGGCAAACTCGGCCCTCCAGATATTTTGGGACTACAACTCCCATCATCCCTAGCTAACAGGACCAGTGGTCAGGGATGATGGGAATTGTAGTCCCCAAACATCTGGAGGCCTGGGTTTACCTATGCATGGCTGTGAGCAATGGGCATGCAAATATCTACACACCTTGTTTTCCAACCATATTCATCTGCTATTGTGACCAGACCCAGAAATAAAGAGGCGATGGGTTGAAATAGGGCCACATTTTATTATTAACCAAAACTTTGAGCAAGCTCAACCTTGCCCATTTCAAGTAGCATGACAAAGCCTCGGCCTTATGGTAAGTAGGGAGGCCTTTGTGCCCCACACCCTCCCAGGGCCCCACAATTCCAGGCAGGTGTGCAGGTGAGGCTCAAGAATGTTCCAGATCTAAGCTAAGGGCCCCACACCCTACGGTATATTAGCTGGCCTCCAGAAACACCTATCACCTTCAAAGGAGCCTAAGGGTGTTTCCACTGTTCAACCTGCAACCTTGGTTTATGGAGCCATTTGATGCCTAGCTTAAATATTTGAGTTTCTAACACTGTCTGTTCCCTTATCTAACCATAACCTTTCCCACACCTTCCTGCCGATAATGTGACCCAAATAAAGCATGCAACCAAATCAACCTGTGATTTCCACCCCTAAATCACAACATCCCCTGAATACAGTATGGAGTGGGCAAAAAAAATCCCACCCAGCTTGGACAATTTGCAGCCAGACAAAAAAAACACAAAAATGCTGCTTAAACAAGACGCAGCTGGAAATCCCACACAGCCAAGGATGGTAAAGTCTATGGCATGGGTGTGGTGCAGAAGTACACCAGGCAACCTGGTTTTGCAACTTTGTAAGAAGGAATCTTACAAGGTTGGGCAATATAGACCACCTGTCATTCACCCCCAGTCGGCAGTGCTTTTCAGGCAGTATATATTTCCTCCTGTCCCATCCACCCCACTTGTTTCATTCTGAGCATGGGCACACATGCCTTAAAAAATGATCAAAATGGTTGGGAACATTTGATTTTTTGCAAGTTTTTTTTTTTAAAGGTTGATATACAAGTTTTCCAATATACCAACTTCCACAAAACTGCATACAAAACAAAACAAAAACCGTGTGTGTGTGTGTGTGTGTGCTGCACCTAGGCCCACCAGCCATCCACTAAGGAGCACCTCACCAATGGAAGCAGAGCAGAGGGTGTGGTAACAGATGGGGTTGGGGTAGTGGCACACAATGCGCTCCAGTATGTCCACAGCTGGGTAACATACATTTTTTCCTCCCTTAATGCATTAACCATGCATTGGGCAAACCTTGATTCAATGTGGGAGAAAGTGCAGGCTGACATTTGGATGAGGACAATGTCACATTGCTGGCACACACGCCAAAACCCCATGTAGACATGGGATGTATCAAATCCACTTCAAATTGCCATGTGTACACCGTCTGGGAGAAAAGCAAGCTGGGGCTTTTGGAGCAAAGAGCTGGGAATGAAAAGGTTAAACAGCCTCTCCTCCCTACAACTTCCAGTGCCTTTATCTGATGGCAGCACAGGGAGAATCAAAGGGGTATAGTTTCAGGGTATATTTTCAATAGGTATAGTTTCAGGAAATCTCTGCCTTCCCCCAAGTTGATGCGTTGCTTCCAGGCAACTTGTTCATGGAGCTTTCTTCTTGACTTGTTTTCATAGAAACATCAGTCAGTTATACTGTATTTTAATTTGGGGGGGATGGGATGGGAGATGACGTTTGATTGAGCAAATGTTACCCCACCACTTTCAGAGTGTTTCCTCATCACTTACCACAAACAAAATGAAACATTCTTTTAAGAGAGTTTGTGCTTTTTTACAAAAGAGCTCCAAATCAGCAATGGTTGCACAGCTTAATTTGCTAGCATGGCTACAAGAACATAGAAGCTGCTTTGAAATGAGTCAGTCTATATAGCACAGTACTGTCTACACCAGTGGTGGCCAAAGTCGGTCCTCCAGCTGTTTTGGGACTACATTTCCCATCATCCCTGACCACTGGTCGTGTTAGCTAGGGGTGATGGGAGTTGTAGTCCCAACACAGCTGGAGGGCCGAGTCTGACCACCACCATTGCCGCTGTGGGTTAAACCACAGAGCCTAGGACTTGCCGATCAGAAGGTTGGCAGTTCAAATCCCCGCGACGGGCTGAGCTCCCATTGCTCAGTCCCTGCTCCTGCCAACCTAGCAGTTTGAAAGCATGTCAAAGTGCAAGTAGATAAATAGGTACTGCTCCGGCGGGAAGGTAAACGGCGTTTCCATGCACTGCTCTGGTTCGCCAGAAGTGACTTAGTCATGCTGGCCACATGACCCGGAAGCTGTACGCCGGCTCCCTCGGCCAATAAAGCGAGATGAGCGCTGCAACCCCAGAGTTGGTCACGACTGGACCTAATGGGCAGGGGTCCCTTTACCTTTACCTTAGTCTACACTGACTGCTGATGGCTCTCCAAGGTTTCAGGCAGGGTTCTCTCCCAGCCATACCTGGATATGCTGGAGATTGAACCTGAGACCTTCTGCATGCAGTGCAGATGTTCTGCAACTGAGCAACAGCCCCTCCCAAATGGAATCCCTAACTGGATCGAATCCCATTCAGAAATAACAATTATCTGGATGCATTCTTGGATTCCCACTTAGGAGCTGCTCTTGTCAGCATGCCATGGAAAAACAGGAACTGGACTCCAGGGTCTGGAAACTTTGACTCTGAAAGGCGTTGTTGACATCCAACTCCTATCATGATTAGCCAAGTAGCTGAGGCTGATGGGAGTTGTAGTCCAACAATATCAGGAGGGTCAAGGGTTAAATGACTGTGGTTTGTGATTATGTAATCCACCAATTCACATTAGTTAGTAAAGGTTTAACATTCTAATTAAATGTATGATTTTTAAAAAACAAAAACATCACTACCACCACCACAGCGTTATAATTCAGAATTCGCCACTTGGCATCTTGTTGTAGACAGCCAAGATTGATATCTAGGAAGGCTGGATAAGCACAGAATCGTGGAGTTGGGACCCAGCGGGTCATCTAGTCCAACCCCCTGCAATGCAGGAATCAACATCTAAAATTCAACAGTTTCGCTTTTCTTGGCATGGATATACAATACAGTGGTACCTCGGGTTACAGATGCTTCGGGTTACAGACGCTTCAGGTTACAGACTCCGCTAACCCAGAAACAGTACCTCAGGGGGGGTGAAGAACTTTGCTTCAAGTTGAGAACAGAAATCGCACGGCGGCAGCGGGAGGCCCCGTTAGCTAAAGTGGTACCTCAGGTTAAGAACAGTTTCAGGTTAAGAACTGACCTCCAGAATGAATTAAGTTCTTAACACGAGGTACCACTATACTAAAGGGGAAATTTCACCGATGGTGTTGGGCAATGCCATCTATGGAAACCTGATTTCGCGTTTCCTGTTTAACTCCCTTCAGCCTGCCCTTACTTAACGGCAAAATAAAAAATTCCTTCCAGTAGCACCAAATTAGAGACCAACTAAGTTTGTTATTGGTATGAGCTTTCGTGTGCATGCACACTTCTTCAGATGCACACGAAAGCTCATATCAATAGCAAACTTCGTTGGTCTCTAAGATGCTAATGGAAGGATTTTTTTTAGTTTGTTTTGACTACGGCAGACCAACACGGCTACCTACCTGTAACTTACTTAACGGGGCGTCGAAGGAAAGAGAGGTTGATGCCCCGCTCCCCGCGCCGCCTAACCGGGGCCCCGGGCGGAGACCTCTTTTTAACGCGCCTAGTCTGGAAGGTTACAAACTCACTTGGCAGCTACTAATTCGAAGTAAACACCCTTAGGGGTTGCTTTGCAACAGTCTTCACTCGCGCTCTCCTCCGATGCCCATATTTGCTTTCTGCCCCGAGGTGAAAGCCAATACCTTGCCGGTGGGTCTCTATTCGTTGCTTCTCCACGCGCCGCAGGCTCAGAAAAGCCACAGACGAGGACGTCTCTTTAGAGACACGCCCTTGCAATGCAGCGCAGGGGGACAAAGGAGGGGCTGGGAAGGAGATAAAATGGAGCCGGCAGAGGGAGGGAAGAGTGAGAGTCAAAACAAGAGTGAACAGAAGGCGGAGCTGGACGCAGCCAGCGGAAGCCAAGGCTGACGCTCGCTCGCTGGCCGAGGCTGCCCTCTTGATAACGCTCCCTCGACAAAGCGCATTTACATGCAGTTGTAGGAGCTGTCCAGTCCGTCTCCATATTAGTGGATCAGGAAATAAGCGTTGCCAGGACGTCCAAAAGCTGGCTGTCGCGGCTCGGGGGAAAGGAACTCTTCGCGTGCACAGGAGTCTGCCCATTTTTATTACTCCTCACCATGTTCAAGGGCTGATCCTTAGGATCGAAAGAGAGTGTTTCGGAGCTGTACGCCTGCAAACTTTGCCCCTAAGCGAAGAGAGTCACGCCGCCAAGCGGCAGAGGAAAACGGGTGTGCTTCTTCCAGAATAGCGAACGTGTTTATACTAATAAGCGAAGCAAATACCTTTTTCTACAACCCGGAATGCAGAACTTTGAAATTCAGAACTGCTACTACTTTTTGTGCGGGCGTCAACAGTTGTCACCCCCAGTGCATTTTGGCGCTTGAGTTTACTGGGTTTCGCAGTGTATTCTGGTGCTGGAATGCGGAGTTTGAAATCCTGGCAACCTCCAGCTCTAGAGGCGCATGAATATTATTTGCTAGAAAGCCAAGTGGAAGAGTCATATTGGGTTCATGCCCTTAGGCTTGCCTAAAGAAACAGGACAAAAGAAGTACAGTATTAATAATTTAGCAGTTTTCATGTTATTCTATTTTATTAAAGCAACTAGAAAAAATATGATGATGCTAAGATCGCACACAAGTGAAGGGAAGCAGTGGGGAGGAGGGGAGGGTTAGGTTGAATTTGGGAAATAAAATAATATATGGGACAGCAAAGGATATAATAGATTCTTCTAGAATAGTAATATATGGTAACCAGAATAGAAGTTCAAAAGGGGAAGTAAATGTATTTTTAGTATTTTCATTATTGTAATAGTAGTTATTATTTCTTATCGGTAGAAGGCTATGCTAATTTAGGCTTCTTCGTTTTGCTGTCTGTATAATTTTCTTAAGTCAATAAAAAAAAGGGGGGAAAGAAACCAGATGTTGGATTACGTAGATGGCCTGGTCCAGAAAAACTCTTCTTAATGTTGCAACATAATGGTATAAACAGTGTGTGATAATGTCCAAAGCGATCACTAGCCTACTTGCTTGCTCTCTACTTTTTTTTCTCCTGAACTGCTTGTTCTGCCACCCACAGGAGTCTTTACAATATGGCATCTGGGATGGCTCAGTCAGTAGAGGAGGAGTCTCTTAATCTCATAGCTATGGGTTCAAGTTCGACTAATAAAGCTTCTAATAAAAGGTTTATTGTTCCATTTAGCAACAGATGAAAAGATGGTTAAAGAAATAAAGAATTTCAATAATCTGCTTTATGGAAGGAAGCAGGAAGCAACAGAGAGCAGAATAAGGGCAGTTTAGAAATAGCTACTGCAAGGTAGACCAGAACTCCTTTAGGCAAACTTGAGTATACAGCTAGCAACTGAGGGCAAAGCACAGTGACCCACAAACTCTAGACACTACATATTTCCTTCTGCTAGGAAAGAGCTACTTACAGCTCCAGGACATAAGAGTTATTAGGCAGCTAATTTGCTTGCTTGCTATGATGCATCTAAGTACAGCCCTGCTACCTTCTACCACAGGCATAGGCAAACTCGGCCCTCCAGATGTGTTGGGACTACAACTCCCATCATCCCTAGCTAACAGGACCAGTGGTCAAGGATGATGGGAATTGTAGTCTCAAAACACGTGGAGGGCCGAGTTTGCCTATGCCTGTTCTACCACTATCAAACCACAATGAGAGTGTATGTACTTAAATCTCAATCAAAGCTCAATTAATTGATGGCAATTACCGAACTGGATGAGGGCCCATCAACTGAAGCTACATCCAGACAAGATAGAAATGTTGGTGAGTGGCTCATCTGTCTGGATTAGTGGTTTTTACTCTGTATTGGACTGGGTTGCAGTCCCCTTGATCGAACAGGCATACCACCTCAGGGTCCTCTTAATCCATCTTTGTTTCCTACCAGTTTACGTTAGTGTGGTAGCTGTGACCCTGCTTGGACAGAGATGCAGCCTGAGTTGTCCTTATTAGCTATGCTTATATGTTATATGTTGGACTTCTTCTGAAGATGGTTCATAAACTAAGAATACAGCTGCTAGAATACCAACTGATCACATTGCACCAGTGTTTTGTCAGTTGCATGGGATCCTGGTCTGTTTCTGGGCTCAATTAAATGTACTGGTCCACATGTCAAGATTTCAACAGAGGCTCTTCCTTGTCCAGGTGTCCTGCCATTGGAGGCCCAGCAGACAAGCTACCAGATATCAAGGGGGTGGAACAACTCCCCTATGAAGAAAGGTTGCAGTGTTTAAGAATATTTAGTTTAGAGAAAAGGCAAGTAAGCGGCAACTTAATAGAGGTTTTCAAAAAAACTATGCATAGCATGGAGAAAGTAGATAGAGAAAAAGGTTTTCTTTCTCTCTCATAGCACTACATCCAATGAAGCTGAATGTTGGGAGATTCAAGACAGATTAAAGAAAAAGAAAGAAAACTTCTTCATTCAAGGAACTTGCTCCCCGAGGAGGCAGTGATGGCTACCAACCAGGATGGCTTTAAAAGAATATTAGGCAAATTCATGGAGGAGAGGGCTATTGAGGGCAACTAGTTAAGATGGTGATGCTCTTCCTTCACAGCTACAAGCAGTAATGCTTCTGAATGTCCTGGAAACCACAGGAAGGGGAGAATGCTATTGTGGTCAAATCCTGCTTGTGGGTTTCACACAGGCATCTGGTTGGCCACAGTGAGAAGGATGCTAGGCAAGATGGGCTCTTTTTATGTTCTTACAAGGAATATTTCCCCCAATAACGCTCAACTGGCACCTATTCTAACACTTCTGTCTTACCAGGATCTTAAATCACTTGGTTCAATCTTCTAATCTCTGCTCATTGTTTTATGCTACTCTTAGAATTTTGCAGATTTTAGTACAGTCAAACCTTGGCTGTCGAATGTAATCCATTCTGGAAGCCCAAAATGTTGGCTTCCAAAATGTTTGACAACCGAGGCACAGTTTCCGATTGGTTGCAGGAGCTTCCTGCACACAGGTGGAAGCCATGTCAGACATTCAGTTTCTGAAAAACGATTGAAAACCGGAGCATTTACTTCCGGGTTTTCGATGTTCGGGAGCCAAAACGTTCCAAAACAGAAGTGTTTGGGAACCGAGGTTTGACTCTATGTTGTTTTTACATTTCAGCTGTATTTATTCTTTTGTTCCTGAGGCTGTGAGCTTGCTTGAAGGGTGGAGTAGATATTTCTACAACAAACAAGGTTGTTTGCATGGTTGAGCATTTGTGATTAATTTCATATTGGATGTGCTCAGATGCATATCCAAGCACCAAAGCCCAGATTTCCCATCTACATCAGGTTGCCATCCACATTTCAGAGAAACCCAGTTCTCCCATCTTGGGCTTGGTCCTTCAGGCTAGCTGAGCCCACTGCATGTTGCTTCCTTCTTTCTTGAAAAGGGTAAAGTTTAGTGCCCTCCTATTTTACAATGGCAATAACGGCCAAAGAAAGAGCATTGAGGGACTCTGGAATCACTGGCAAAAACCAGTGTGTTACCTTGGAACAGTGTTTTTATAAAAAGAATGTAGTCAGCAAATATTTGTTTTCAAAAGGAACCTCATCGAATCATGAAATGACCCACTGAGACACATATTAATGAGAAACTAAGCATGTTCAGAGACAGGGTCGGCCCACACATGAGGCAAAGTTAGATCACCACCTCAGGTGGCAGAATCCAATAGGACAACAGATCCCAATGTTGACCTTTCTGCCCTCCCCTGCTCCTGGTGTAAATCTTCCCTCACTCCTCCTTACCTGGATTTGCAGAAAACTTGTATCAAAATTAAATGGATTCTGTATGACTTCTTTTTGCAATTATATAGGCTGCCATTAAAGAGATTTGCATTTTGAGGATTCACGCTGATTTCTTTGATCAAAATGTCCTACATCCAAAGTGGCTCTTTCCCTGAACTGCATGATACCCAATAGAAACGGTTCTGTTTCCAAAATATGTGTTTCCAGAGGAATGTGGTTATTAGGTTCATTATTTGGAGTAAAATTATGGTGTTTCACTCAGTATAGGAAAATACAGAGTACATTTCCTTTTTGAAGAGACAAAGTTCTGTTTGTTTAGTAAATGGAAGAAAGGTTACCTCCATGAACAAATGTTTGCCAAATGGAACCATTTCCCATTTACCTGTGTATAGTTTATGTAGAGGCCTTTAAGGGCAAACATCCTGAAAACAAAGGTGTTAGCTGGTTCTTCAGTAAATAAGCAGAGGACCTCCTGGAAAACGACACTTTTTCCTGTAGTGACTGGGGCAAACTATTATTGTTATTTATTATTTATTATTATTTTATTATCATCATGCATGCATGCGTGCATGCATGCTGTAACCCTGGCAACCTCCCCTTCTCAATTATTCTGTCTCTGTCCATTGCTCAGAGTGGGGCAAGGCGGGGGGGGGGCAGTATTTGCATTGCCAATTGCTCTTAATGGCCTGGTCCTCTACTGCTCCCTTTGTTTCTTAATCAATGGCACCTCTATCAGCCAATTTCCTGAACAGGAATAATAATAATAAACCAGCATAGATTGCATTTTTACACTGCTAATTTTAATGTCAGTAAGCTCACCTTAATCATCTAAACACCGCTTGAACCTCAACACCTAGAAATCGAAGAGGAGGCAGGGAACCCTGAAACGTGGGCACCCACAAATCCATTACAATACTAAGCCAGCCACTGCTGCTGCATGAAGTCATATTCTCAGTGAAAAAGGTTTTTAGACAGAATAGCAAAAATCAAGTCAAATTGCTTTCATATGAAACTACTCTCAGTAGCCCCATGCAGTCCATTTCCATACCTGCAAGTGAGTGCAAATGATCTTGGAGAAACCAATGGATTACATTCAGGCCTCAAGTGTCCATTTTCTTCTTACTTTGGGATTCTCACCAACCCTTGCTTTTCTGACAAATTATCTTGTATTCTATGTGGCTAGGCAGAAAATCTGGAAGGAAACCAGGATTATGGTTCCATCTGCACTATACTTTTAAAGCAGTATCATACCACTTCTAATTGTCATGGCTTTTCATTCAGAATCCTGGGAACTGCAGTTTTTTGTTTTGTTTTTAGAGTGCTGGGAGTTGTTGGGAAATCCCTAT